CCAGGGGGGTAATACATTCAATGCAACAATATGACTGAAACGCGGAATAGTACTTCTCGCATAAACGCTCGTCCCACAATTCGTACAGAAATAATGGGGAACCTGCTCGGATCCAAAACGATAAGCCTGCGAAGCCCAAAAATTAGTCAAGATAATACCCTGCATAAAATGACACAATTAATGACGCAACAAGGATTCTTAGCATTAATAATGATAAAAAACAAGAAAGATAGAGTGGAAAAAAAAAAAAAAAAAAAAAGAAAAAGAAAAGAAAAGAAAAGAAAACAACCTTCACAGTATCCTCCCTCGGAAACTCAAAATCGTCTATTTTCGGATAAACAAGCAAATAGCCATTAATATGGCAAATAGAGCCTGCGTCATTTACGATAAAATTAGCCCCAGTCCGGGACAATTAGGGGGAAATCCCGCATGCCATAATTCGGTTTAATCGCCGACGGTGAGATTTAATAGGATTAGCCAGGATAAACCTACAGTTACACTGGACGACCTCCTGTTCCTCAATCGGCGGCGAGAGGGAAAAGGAGTACTTGGCTTGGCCACAGTGGCAACTTCCTGCGTATGACTTGGCTTCTGCCATGGTCGAGGGGTGCTTAGGCGTCTGAGAATGTTGTTATCGCTCGGATCCTTGGAGGATCTACGGGTGGGGTTCCGCGTTTTATATACTCAGGATAACGGAGTTGTTTATTGTTGTTGCAGGGACTGGTCGTGGACGGTCGTGTTTTATTTTGCCGCCAAGCCGCTTAACGTGCTAATCGAGTAGTTAGTGCTGATGTGAGGGATCTAGGTCTGGCTACTGCCGAGCCGCAATGCTACAGCTATGAAGGCAGCGAGCTACTAATTGAAACTGAGTTTATCGGTTGGAGGGGAGGGAGCACTGGCACTTGAGAGCTAAGCTAAAGCTCTGGGAGCTCGACGGGTTTCCTCTTAAGGTTAATAAGATAGCTCCGCCGGCAATTTCGGCTTTCCAAGAAGACACATACCTCGATCGTAGCTTTGGTAAAGTCTCTTATTAGCCTGCTTATCGGCGTTTGGTAAATCCTGTATATCTCCTGCTTTTATCGATTCAAACGAAGGCACGCTGATCGTGGATTCGTGGAATGCAGTGGCCATGGTGTAGGGCTACAGTGAGGTGTCGAGGGCAAAAAGAAGTTGGTCAATTCGGGAAGAGGGTATATCATGAGATCTCCAATTTGATCGACATTTCTACTGTGGAGAGCTCCAGTGCAAGAGTAAAACGGAGGCCTCAATGCAAGGGGGCAGAGGAGTGCACGTTAGCCGCCGGTATATGAGTCTGAAGCAAGTGCTTATTTATTCTCCTGTAGCCGCGAGCATGAGGTTGCATCATATGCATCATAGTTTCGCAACATGCATGGTTCGGCAGAGCTGTAGATGCTCACAAGGTCGAAGGATAGGCTGATGATCTGGAGAAACGGTCCCATTAACGTTCGAGATGCTCTCATAAGCAACATTCCATCCAAGGTGGACTACCCACCCCCTTCGTTGTTGGTTCCACTCTGGGACATTCCACATCCTTGCTTCCCGTCTCGGTGTGTCGAGGTCCAAGCTATTGCTCGATAGGATAGCCAAGTAACCTAACACCAGCGTAGCTGCTATTTAATATGCGGTGCAACGCACCGTATTTCACATGTGTAGTGCTAATATCTCCCCGATCCCTTTTCCCCCCCTCATACCTCGGAGCCGATTTTGTCAGTCTTCGTCACTATAGTCCATGATGACTGACACCGCAGATATCAAGAAGCAGGTTCCGTATGTGGTAGAACAACTATCCGACGAGAGCCTTGCTCCTGACGATGCCGTCCTGCAGGCCCAGCCACCGGCCCGAGCTTGCGCGGTCATTTTCCTGGGTGGGAGCTATTGGATTGTCGTTCAGGTTGGACCCTATACTATAAGCCGCGTTGGGTCGTGTTCACTGACTTGCACAGTATTGCCAACTCATGGTTAGGTTATGGCGCAACGTTCGGAACACCCCTGGCTTATGGAGGTGGTCCGACCGTTCTCTTCGGAGTGATGATTGCGGCGGTAGCGCAGTGGATTGTGTTGCTAGGGCTGGCCGAGCTGTGCTCTGCATTGCCCTCTTCAGGGGTTTGTTCGACCTTTCTCTAATCATGCTTCGGCCACACTGACACCATACAGGGTCAATATCACTTCACCTATATACTAGCCCCACAAAAGTACAAGAAGTTTGCCGCATACACAGTTGGCATTACCAATGTCATAGCATGGTGGGTGAGTGCAGCATCGGGCATCATCTATACAGGGATTTCGGCGTTTGGGATAGCAGTGTTCTGGTATCCCGACTTTCAGCATGAGAGGTGGCAGATATACTTATGTTATGTGTTGGTGGTCACCTTGACGTGTAAGGCCCCAAGGTCCGATTGTTAACATGGTAACTGATTTGATTAGTGGTTCCTGTCTTCGCCGTTCCCCAGAGACGTTATGATTACCTGACGAAAACCACCTTTACCCTGTCCATAACCGGCTTGATCTTGGTCTTGATAGCGGTGCTCGCCTCAGGACGGGGACATTATCACCCCGAAGTCCTCACAACGTTCCAGGGGACCAGTGGATGGGACACGGCCCCAGCATGGTTGCTGAGCATCACCATGGGACAGTACTGTTATGCGGCTATCGGAGCTGTCACACATATCGCGGAGGAAATGCCCCAACCGGGCCGGAGGATCCCTCTCGTGATGTAAGATTGACCACAGATAGATATTGACATTCTGCTAACTGTCGGTAGTAACCTTGGAGTCTTAGTTGGCGTCATGACAGCTGTACCGTGGGTCACCGTGATGCTTTGCGGCATTCAGGACATCGATGCAGTTCACAAAGCGTTCATTCCTAGCATGGAGGTCTACTATCAAGCGACCGGAAGTAAGGTGGGCGCCACAGCGCTGCAAGCCTTTATGACATTCCTGTATTGGAGTGAGTCTATGCCCCTTTGGTGTCTCATACCATGCTAACCTGTCAGCCTGCGGTCCAAGCCAATGGATAACTTCGAGTCGGATCGCGTGGGCATTTTCTAGAGATGTATGCGTCAGGGTGTAACCAAGAATCTAAGGTGTATGATGCTAACCCAGACAGAACGGGCTTCCATTCTCCCACTATTGGAACTTCATCGACCCGAAGTTCAACATCCCCGTGCGCACCACGTTCCTCTCCGTTTCATTCTGTCTCCTATACGGTCTTGTCTATATCGCCAGTTCGACAGCATTCAACTGCATCGTGAACATGTCGATCCTCTTTTTGAACATTAGTTTCACCGTTCCCCAGGCCATCCTGGCGACAGTAGGACGGGACAAGCTCCCGGCACGGTCATTTAATCTGGGTCGATGGGGATACGCAGTCAATATTTTTTCCACGGTATGGTTGATTTTCAGCGGGATACTGTTTTGTTTCCCAACCAAATTACCCACAACTGCAGGGTCTATGAACTAGTAAGTGCTTTTACCATTGCTTTCATTTCCACCTGCATCCTACGGGGTACTGATGTGGATATAGTGGGTCGGCTGTCCTGGTGGGAGTGTATTGCCTCATATTGCTACTGTGGATAGAGCGGAGACATAAGTTCACCGGGCCAAAGATCAACTGGGATGCATTGAACATGAGCAACAAATTGGCATTGTCATAGGGCTAAGGGATATTCGCCATGGTTTTGCGCGAGGTGGAGTGATGGATTACGACTGATCTGGTTGTCAAGTGGAAATCACGGGGGGAGGAGTTGGGCGTTCTGCCACAATAGGCATAGTGTATGTCGTATATGTATCCAAAGTCCAATAAGATTAGATCTCGGTTTGTGCCTCACTAAACTGGAAAGGGAAGATTCGCCAGCGATCCGATCACTTCCATTTTCAGTCTGTTCGATTATGTTAACGACATCAAAAACCTTCATCTATCCGCCACAACAGCAGGTTAATGGCTGGACTTCAACGTCTAGAAGACTACAAAGGTTATCTTTCCCACTAGGCTGACCGCATGTAAGCTTCTCGCAGCTGAAGCTAATTCTTATTAATGTTGCACCTCCTTTCCTATTCATATGCTCCTTGCTGGTTGACGTCTTTTCCCTTTTCCTTGAAGGAAAGAGGGCTTTTGATATGTGGTACACCGTGGGAGCGCTATGAAATGCATTTCTAAACAGTCCGACGACTCACGGGCATACGTGGGAGCCATAGAGGATATGTTGGATGAATCACGCATGCACTATTAATGCTGAAAGATCAACACCTCATCTACCTGTTGTCACACCGCTGTGGGGGTATGGACTGATTAGTGCTGGGTCAATGTGGCAATGGACCCATGAATCATATCTCACACTGTCGGACCGACGTTACTTGGCAAAAAAGTATCTGTAGGGCCCATTTAGCCTGTATGCTAGGACCCTTCCATTGGTTAGTCCTTAGCTCGCTCCGGTCGATATAAAGACCCAGATCCCAGTTCCTGAATCTCCAAAAAATTATAAAAACATGGCGACTACCAATCCGGACATAGACAATGCTGTGGCCCAGCAAAACCCACCCCCTGACAGGTATGCACAAGAGGCTAAGCCGGTATTCAAAAAGACAGAACGATGGAACCATCCCAGGTCCAATATATTCAAGACAGCGGCTACATTCTGGAGTTTTCTGGTGATGGGAGCGAATGATGCCGCGTATGGGGTAAGATCACTTGCCAGCTGATCAAAGACATAGCTAACAATTATAGCCGTTGATTCCATATGTAAGCGTGAACTCTACGTGTTATGGGGATCCACCGCTAATTCCTTAGCTCGAGGAATATTATAACCTGTCCTATACTATTGTCTCTCTAGTTTTCCTGTCACCCCTCGGTGGCTATACCCTGGCTGCCCTACTCAATAACAAAATCCATACAACGCTTGGCCGCCGTGGAGTGGCCTGGATTTCCCCAGGGTGTCATTTACTGGCATACATTGTCAATTGCGTCCATCCTCCATACCCAGTACTAGTAGTATCCTTCATATTCGCAGGTTTTGGAAATGGGTTGGCCGACTCAGCTTGGAACGCTTGGATTGGTAACATGGCTAATGCCAATGAGCTCCTGGGACTCTTGCACGGACTATATGGTGTAGGTGCAGTCCTGAGCCCACTGGTAGCGACTTCTTTAATTACCGAGCAAAAGTGCCCTGGTATTATTTCTACTATATCATGGTATGTCGTTATCTCAGATGCGTCGAGACTCTCGCTAATACAACAGCGACCCAGATTGGCTGTGCCGCTATCGAGCTCGCCTTTTGTCTTTTTGTCTTTTGGGACTCCACAGCAGCAGCTACGGGAGGCTACCCCCCAGGAGGATGGCTCTGGTGGAGGCCTGCGTGAAGCCCTCTTCACGAAGCCATCCGCCCGGGTCACCTGGATTTGCGCATTTTTCCTCCTCGGGTATGTCGGGATCGAGGTGGCTTTGGGCGGATGGATCGTCACGTTCATGATGCGAGTACGACATGGAGCGGACTTTGCGAGCGGGATGGTTGCTACGGGGTTCTGGTTAGGCATTGCCTGCGGTCGAGTGGTACTCGGTTTCATCACACCGCGAATCGGGGAAAAGATGGCCATAGTTGTATGTATCCCTTTATTTTCTTGTCTTTGTTTCTTTTCTGCCTCTTTAATCTCTTTACCGCTTCCAGATCAACTAACATGTTAACTTTGACAAGGTGTACTCCCTGTTCGCAATAGCCTGTGGGCTCATCTTGTGGCTTGTGCCTAATTTCTATGCATCTGCCGTGGCGGTTTCGTTCCAGGGATTCTTTCTCGGTCCCTTCTTCCCTGCTGCTGTCATCGTTGCCACCAAATTGCTCCCACGATCATTACATGTCAGTGCTATTGGCTTTGCGGCGGCATTCGGAGGAGGCGGAGCCGCCGTGCTGCCCTTCGTAGTGGGCGCCATTGCGCAGGCTCGAGGCGTGCAGGTCTTGCAGCCGTTTATTATTGGTCTCTCTGCTGGGATTTTGTTGTTATGGTTGGGGCTCCCACGGTTACCAAAGAAAGTTGATGAAGAGCAGCATGGGACTTCAGACGTATAGATGTTTGCTGTTTATATAGTTCAGCTCTGGAACTGCTATACCCGGGCTTCAAAATGGAATTACTGATATCATGAGGATAATCTAGACTCCATTGAAATTTCAATTCGGCACTATATTCAACTAGAGGCTGGTATCATTACCATTGCTGAGTTGTTGCAAGGTCTTCATATTGATACTCTCATGTATAGGTTCGTATTGTCGCATCTCTTAAACGCACTATGCACAGAGCTCGACAAGATAAGCTGCGAAAGATCGGGACAACTTATCTCCAGCAACCAATCTCTTGATTACATAGTGCCAGACCTAAATTAACTAATTAACCTCTTTTGGCTCTAGATCTACTTTCGATATTTCGTGTTTATGACAAACGCAGTATCATACAGAACACCAACGGGGGCCACCGTTACAAGACCCTCCAACCAATAAGCATTACAATGCCACGTCCCCTTACAAGCTCTATAACCTGCCTTACTCCCAAACTATCTTGTAAATCCATTTCTAACATTATTTTCGGCTTCGTTACTTCGCATATCGGGGAGAAGATCAACGCCTCATCACAGAACCTGGATCCTCCTGGGTCATACACACATAGTATCCAACCAAAGCAGACAATCCCAAGTCTAAGAACAACACAGGACACTTTTCCCAAAGATTTCTACAGCACACAGCTACAACACTAGCAACGGGCCTAATACACGTCCTACGCGGTTACACATACCATGTATACTACCAGAACTCCGTACTCTCGAAGATCCAGAACGCATTCTCCAGCAAAATCTCACCAACCGGCCATCATTCCGACACCACGCAACAAAGATGAATTCTACATCCAGCGCCCAGAGCAACCGCTCATCGATGATATCTTACGTGGCACCGAAACGGGACATTACTGGCTTATCGTCGGCGAAAGAGGCACAGGGAAGACGAGCATGTTGGTCCACTCAATGCGAGACATCTACGGACGGGATGTTGTTATGCTAGACGTTCATGACGATATCGATGTATTCCAGGTTCGGCTTGGCAAGGCCCTGGTTAAGATATAGAAAGATCAGAAACATCCATGCTCGGAGCTTCCTGGTATCCCGTTACACAAAGCCCAGGAACTGGTGACCCGAGCAGACTTTGTCCACCAGCTTCATCAGATGAGGATCGTATCTATTGACGATAATGACATTGTAAGGGCCAATTCGGGGCTTATGCAGAGCGCCTTTCGGGCCGTGTGTTCTGAAGACGGGTTTAAGAAATGACTGAAGGCTACAAGTAGCAGGTTGAGTGACCTTGAGAGTCTGGGAAGGACAACAGAAGTGACTATGAAGGACTTGGTGAATGATGACCAGTACGAGATTAGGAAAGAGCGGGCAATTAGGGGAGAGGAAAATATCCTCCTATCTTATCGGAAGCCAAGTAGCTACCCTTATTGGAGCTGGTAGTGTAGCTTATCTATCCCATGCCTGAGTCGCAGTGGCTATATTACGCTGTAAGGCGCATAGATGGACTTTTCACTGAACGCAAATCAGCTGTACTTGCAGTTTGTCGAAGGCGCGAAAGCCTGAGAAAGCGTTTATTTCCCTGACACTCAATTGATATTGCAACCCTTTGTACAGTACACCTAACATGCTCTCTAAATAGCATAACAGTTCCAACGAATAAAACCAGCGTAAAATCCTTTATTCCGAAAACAGTACTTCCTAGCGAAGCTTGTTGGTAGGGCAGGACTGATTGTCAACTCTAAATCTAAGGACGATGACTCCTTCATTGTCAGCCTCCTCGGAGGATTTATATTTTTCGTAGTACAAGTCCAATCGGCGTACTCCGTACAAAGTTAAAAAGAAAAGTGTGATAGTGAATATTGCGTGGCTCCTCTCAGCATCTCCATAGCCCATGTGACAGCAGGATACGAGAAGATCGGCATCACGCCTCAGGTTGACCTTTGTGTATCTGTAAGGCTGGCCGCTGATCGTATCCAGAAAGGCTCCGAAATACCGGCATGAAACTACTACCAATCCCTTGGATCTGCCGAGAACCTAGCAAAGTTAGGCACCCGAGACATGTCGCCCTGCAGCACAGCCACCGAGCTAGACCCTACATCAAACATCTACTGAAGCTATAGGCCCTGGAAAGTGTGGTAAAGAAAGCACACTATTGATTAGACGTGTCACGACATATCATCTAGATCCTCTAATCTCCCATTCCTCACGGATCTCGCCCACCACATCCTAGTTCTACGATTGTTCGTCGCGTCGCTTAGAGTTCGCCCCGAGGGTTAAAACCATCAGCCAAAACGGAGTCGGTAGATGGCTGGATCGCCCTGAGCTTCAATGGAATCCTGTTGGGCGTGGCTGTTTCGTTTGCACTCCACTGCAGGGAGTAAACTCCGCTCTCGCTTCGTGTTGTGAAGAAGTTCGCATTCTGTGAGTCGATCAGAACATAATTGCCGTAGAGTTTCAGCGTTTTCGTATCCAGCCGGGAAGAATCATCTGGATCTTTGAACCCGACGTTCCCACCAGATGTTCCTGATATGGATGGCAAAGTAAAAACCATAGAATCAAAAGATGGACTCCTGGATTCTGTACGGTTTGCTTGTGCCCGCCAGACCGTCGGCGTTTCCTCGGGGATAGTAACTGCGCACGGTAACTGTGAGTACAAAGAGGCACTCTATTTGCATTTGATGTGTATTCATGAAAGTCTTACAGTAGATAGAAACCGTCTCATTTGCTGTTGAGAGGGATCGATTGCCTATTTCGGCGCTACCTGTTGACCTGTCAGGGTTGTTTATCACTTGCTTAAAATCTCAAGGGAGACAAGTTCTTCGACGCTCACCATCGGCGTAGAACACGGGCAAACCGCCAATACCCTCGCCATATGCATACAGTCTGAATGATTGCTGACATGTTTGGCCATAGACAAGGTTGGCCAGTGAGCAACCGATCAGGAAGAGTCTAGGAATCAGAGACCAACTAGATGGGCATGTTAGTACCTACTGACGGCGAAGAATGTTGCCGGGCTCACCCCATTGCGCTGTTCTCTTTGTTTTTACCGCTCACGGTAACTTAATTAGTCTGCTTGTATGGAAAGAAGTAGAAAGCGAGGATTGATCAGGTTGATATATTCTTACCTGGCTCACTCATTTACGCCTCACATAACCAAGGGCGAGTCATCTGCGACAATCCGATATTCCGTACGACTTCCTATCCTCCCAGGCAAGTGCCAAGAGCATATTACATTGAGGCTGAAATTTCAGGCCTCCTTGTTACGAGTCATATATGATGCGGCTAATGGTCCCCCGAGCCAATAAGGGACGCCTGGTACACTGACTCTCTAACCGATCCGTCTGCCAAGCATACTGTTTAGACACAGAATGTGGTCCACTGCGTGGCTAGCTGATCAGTTGTCTAAGTTTTGTGTGTTGCCTAAGTAGTAAAGAGGTGTGGTTGGTGGCTTGATATTGGGTATGATGTTGACGAGCCAATCCCGAAACCCGGTAGCAAGCGAGTTCACGAATACGATGTGTTGGTTGCTGCTCGACCTAATCTGTACTGCGCCTCACTGACAGGGTTCTCGATTTTTGCATAGGGGTGCCCTGTTATTAGAGTGGAAACTTGGACTCCGAGGAGTTACGACGTCTTATAAATGTGGTGACATACTCCGTTCCAATACTCTGGAATAAGGTGCGAACTTGGAGTCATAAGTGAACACGGCTCTCATAACGGAACGGGCCATGATGCTTGTTAGCTTACTCCTTCTGGCATATGCATTATGCGGGACGGCGATATTTCTCCAACCTAATCACAACAACAAAAGGGGCCTGTCTATCTCTGATGCCTCTCGAACACTCGATACAGCAAGGCACCACAACAAATGGCAGGCCAAGAGGGCGAGAAACTCCACTGGCACCTCCACATCTTCAATTGCATTGCCATCAGGAACTCCCTGTGCTGGAAACTTGCCAGAGAACCGTTCCAAGTGGTGTGAATATGACATCGACACGGACTGGTCAGAGGTTGTTCCTGATACGGGTGTGACTAGGGAGTATTGGCTAGATATTGACGAGATCGCTGCCGCCCCAGATGGCTATTTACGAACGGTGATGGCTATCAATGGTAGCATCCCTGGACCGACTATCTATGCGGACTGGGGTGATTATGTCGTCGTACATGTCACTAATCACCTCCATGAAGCTAAGAATGGCACCAGTATCCATTGGCATGGTATGTGGCAAAGAGGAACAAACGAACACGATGGGGTTGTCTCCATCACCCAGTGTCCTATAGCCCCTGGCTCATCGATGACCTATCGTTGGCGAGCCGAGCAGTACGGCTCGTCCTGGTATCATTCTCATATTGGTCTCCAAGCCTGGAACGGGGTATTTGGTGGCATTGTTATCAATGGACCTGCTACGGCGAACTATGACGAGGACGCCGGCGTGATGATTCTGAGCGATTGGACGCATGACACTGCAGATGAAATGTATCAATTCGCACAGGTCTGTGGCCCGCCACAATTAGATAATGGATTAATCAACGGAACCAACGTCCTCGATACCGGTAACCACACCGACGGATCTCGGCTGAAGCTCCAGGTGAGGGAAGGAAAGTCGTATAGATTGAGGCTTGTCAATGCAGCTCTTGATACAACCTTTGAATTCATGATCGATAATCATAAAATGACCATCATCGCGATGGACTTGGTGCCCATCGAGCCATACACCACATATAGTCTAACCATCGGCATGGGTTCGTACTCCCACACCCATGGCCTGACAATATACTAACCGTGGCAAAAGGCCAGCGATACGATGTAATTATTACAGCCGATCAGGCATCGGTTGCTGATTCATTCTGGATACGCGCGATACCACTACACGCTTGTTCGGAAAATGCTCGTGGCAACAACATCCGTGGCGTCCTGCACTACGGAGAGACACCGAGTATCCCAGAGACTCTCCCATTTATCTACTTAGATGAAACATGTTACGATATACCGGCCTCGGTTCTGGTGCCACACGTACCGAAATCAGTCCCTGCCCCAGACCTGCAAGAGATGGTCGACGCCGACACCCGCCGTAACGCAAAGGGGCTTTTCCGCTGGTACCTCAACAGCACGACAATGGAGATTCTATGGGAAGATCCCACACTACTCCAGATACGAAATGGCTCGTCGGCATTTCCAAACTCCAGTGCCGTCATCTCGTTGCCGAAAGCGGACCAGTGGTTTTATCTGGATATCGAAACTCGCATACCCGTAGACCATCCGATTCACCTCCACGGACATGACTTCTTCATTCTTTCCCAAGGGCAGGGTGCCTGGGATGGGTCCTCGCGTACTGAAAACCCGCCTCGCCGGGATACGGCAATGCTGCCGGCGAACGGGCACCTGGTCCTTGCTTTCCAGACGGATAATCCCGGGGCGTGGTTGATGCATTGTCATATTGGCTGGCATACTACTGAAGGGTTTGCGTTGCAATTTTTGGAGAGATCTGATGAGGTCATAGGTGGTATTGATTATGACCTCCTGCAGGACACCTGCGATTCTTGGATTACCTATGACGAGTTGTATGGGATCGACCAAGAAGATTCCGGTGTTTGACAGGCTGAGAGATACAACAAAGCCGTTTCTTCACGGTATGTTGGTCAATGTCAGCTAACGTGGAGAGAAGTGACCATCAGGCTAATTCTGGTTCAGATGTAAGGATGTCTGGGCTCAACATATGGTTATATAGTAATGTTAAGAAGTTCGAAGTAACGACGAGAAAAAAGTGGTATGAGCGTGGCTTGGGTCTGTGAGAGCTTCAAGTAGGTAAGATTTTACCGTTTGTTGGTACAGCGGATGAAATCGAGGTATGGATATAACCTCGAACGGGACAATCAACGATTCACTTGACCAATGAAATCTGTCCTGTACGCCCCATTATAGATTTAAACCAATCATAATATCTTCCAACGCCCCGGATAATCGACTAGTCCGATTCCGAGATTTTACCGTCTTCTCAGTTTATGCGGTAAAATACACCGCCCTTCGCAACTAAGGCGGTAATAATTTACAGACTTGGTCATTTGATGCGGTAAAATATACCGTTTTTCTAATCAAATACGGTAAAGGATGCCGTCTTTGTTATTTAATACGCTAATCTTTTACCGTCGTTCTGATATAGTGCCGTAATATCCTACCGTCTTTCTAATGAACTGTCCTTCTAACTGAAAACGGTACAATATTACCGCTTTAGAGAGTCACTTAGACGGTATATTGTACCGCTTTAGAGAGTCACTTTAACCGCTAATACTATATCTTAGGATCACCTCTAAGTTTTAGTACCCTGGTCCCTGGGTACCCTAGAAATAGTGAGGTGAGCGAGTTCCCGTACAAAAGCCGAAAATCCGATCTATTGTCCGTACGTTCGATTTAGTCTGCAGTACTTGTGCCCATGACGTGATGTAAGTCCTTGTGCGTGGTCAGGATTGTTTTGTTCTTTCATCCCGTCACGGAACAACAGTTCCCCCTGAGGGCCAAAGCCTCCGTACTACAGCCTGTACTGCGTGCCGCTGGGGTCTCACCTCCCCCTTGGCTGCATCATGCTATCTTACCCAGCCTTATGCTCTACCGTCGACAAGTGTCAAGTTCAGAATGGCATTTAGTCCTTGGGTTGGGCGAATGTGGCGATTTCCGACGATATGGTCTCATTTCAAGAATCGGATATGTTCTTGGAGGTCAGGCAGCAACGCCATTGCGGTCCCTGCCGTTTCTTTGTTCGAGCACCTCTCTTTTGTTGTGTTTCACCTTCATTTGATCTAACCCTTTGAATACAATCTGCTGGTGGGAAAGGACATACATGAAACCTTACACTCCATTTTCTTCGTTTACTGAACCTGAAATCGGCAAACAATAATGATGAGAGCAGATACCGATGATAGCATATGACGTTCTGTTTATATTAGACTCTGTTGGATGTTTATTCATGAACGATGATCCCTTTTGTGTAGCCGAGTGAGTCCGAACAAAGAAGGCAGTATCCAGTCCTGGTGCACTAGTTAGTGAAAGCAGATCTTTGTACCACTTGGTCATTTCGAAGTGACCTTTCAACTTGTCTTACCCAGATGCTCCTAGGAAAAAATGAGTCCAAAAACCATATGATCCATGATTTGTTCCCTTGCCAAAGCCAACGGGGAGGATTCACATGTAAAGCCCGATTGACAACGGAGCGAGCATAATCTTCATTTTTCATAGCACCCTCTGAAGACGGTTCAAACATAAGCATGATGAACCACTGACAAGAAAAAGCAGAGAATACCTTGTGAGTGTGTAACCCGGCGTTCAAAGGCATCGGAAATAGGTAGATATATGCTATCCTCTCCGAGCGTCCGTTTAGTCCGGGTTATTCTGCTTTTCACACCTCCTGTAACCACAATCATTACCTTAACACCGAACGGGGCTAATTCAAGTCGCAAAGTGTTGCTGTAAGCATGAAGTGCAGCCTTTGATGCGTTATAGATACCGCTAAAAACATAAGGAATAACGGCGGCCACTGAGCCGATGTTTATGATAGTTCCCTTGGCTTGAATGAGCAGAGGGGTGAATTCTCTAACCATTCGCATCACGGAGAATACATTTGTCTCAAAAGTAGATTGTATATCGTCATCCGCAATATCGACGCAAGGAACAGTGCAGTCTAATGTTCTTAGTTTGGATTTTCTCACGGGTCATGAACGCAGTAGATCCGAGTTGAGCTACTATTGAGACATCAGGTATACATACTCTTGCCTCTGTAGCGTGCGTGTATATTAGATTGGAGAAATATGGCACCACAGGGGATGGGAACCTTTATCAGATATTACATACGCATTGTTTACTAGAAAGTCTAGCCCATGTCCAGTGAGCTCTTCGACTCGTTGTCGCACTCTCTGGATGTCTTCCGGCGACGTGACATCGAGAGTGAAGGTTTTGATTCCTCGCGTCGCCAAGTCTTCCATGGAGCTTAACTCACGAGCCGTGGCAAGAACAAGCAGCCCTTTCGCGAGAATTCATTGGTCAGACTCATTAACCCCCAAGAATCGCGACTGAAAGATGTCACCTACCTGCATCATGAAATGAGCAAGCAAGAGAGTGTCCAATACCGCCCTTGGAGCAACCTGTGATTAAAACTGTACGCGGGCGGTTTGCCATTCCAAAATAGACTACCAAAGATAAAAATGACTGGGTGTTGAGAGAAGAATCATTCACAAGGAGGACCTCCAGTATTAAAGAAGTAGAGTGTTCCGAGCTTCATTACTTGTCAACTTGATATCAGAACGTGCGGTGTAATTAGTAACTAACTCCTCCTCGATCGCAAAGCGGTGCATGTGATCTTTCCCCGGGCTTGCTGAGACCTTCGGGATTCGGGTTCAGTATATCGGCACTCGGATCTCATAGAATGGGCCTGTGCGACCAACGTCGAGACCCGCGAGGCATGACTCAGTGCCTAAGACTTTGTTAGGGCCAAATCGTCTCGGTGGTGACCATATTGAGTATAGTATAGACTAGTAGGACTACCCGTCCAGAGAGAGATCACAGTAACAATGATCGAACCCTTTCCCTAATGATCTCCATTGACCCGTAGCTGCCGTGAGCTCCACTTCTAAAAGTATATCTATAAATACTAGCAGCATCTCTGGGATGGTGGAATTGGAATAGATGTTGGACAGCATCAGATCCCTACCCCGTATTGTCCTTATGTGCAAGTCTCTTGGTGATGTCGAATAGTGTTTAACCTATAATATGAAAAATCACCCCAGCCTTGTTCTATACAACTCTGGGTTATCCCATAATATATAGATTCTCACGGTGGCGGCTGTCGCCAAACTCAATGCCATTACCCTTTAATACGGCAGATTTTGTTGCTTCGTCAAGTAAGCCACTTCTCGAAAGGAGAGGTTCGAGATGGCCACAGCAACAAGGGCAGTCATACTACTAGCTAAATTTATACAATAAACACAAGTTGACCATGGACGGACTATTCAGAAAGGACTTGAGGAAACTTGCCTGAGCAGGCTATTAATCTATGATCACATCCTGTGCTATAGTACATCAGTTCAGTTGATGAGTGGAGAGTGGTAAATTTCTAAGATATCTAAGCTTTGTAAAGAGTATCCAGAAACCCTTCAGTAAACTGGCTGATTGCGGAATGGTCAATGCTACCTCCTACGCCATAGAGCGCCGCACTCTTGCCACGCTGCTGTACAATCTGTTCTCCCTCACCTTTTCGCTCCTCATTCTGCATTAATATCTCCTCGATGACCTCAATCAAGTCGGTGATGAGGCTATCAACAGCTTCGGATGTGGGTATTGTAAAAGCGCAATGGATAGCCGGTGGAGATTGCAAAGCATTCAGATGCCAACCCCGAGCATCCATGGCGTCAGCGATGTCGTAAGTTTCAATTTCTTTATTTGTGCTCGTGAATGCGATGACGCTCGCCATCGGATGCCCGATGATTCCAATATGAGGGATCAAGCTAGGGTGTGTGAGTATAGCGGTTTCAAACTTCTTCGCTGCTCCCACGATCTGGCGGCAACTATTGATATAGCCCGACTCGCCCATCTTCATAAGCGTAGCCCAGGAACTTGCGATGAGTGAGCCCGGGCGAGACCCTGCCATCGATGGAGACGCATATGCACCGCCGGACCAGTTCGGGAATATAAAATATTGGTAGTTTCGATATGACCGGTTGCGATACAATAAGACGGAGCTACCCTTGGGAGCGAAACCATACTTGTGGGTGTCAACACTAATGCTAGTGACTCCGGGCTGTCGGAAATCAAAGCCTCCCTCATCCTCGTACGGAGAGGGAAAGCCCGCTTTCTTCAAGAAAGCCATGACAAGTGATCCCAAGCAGCAGTCCACATGTAATGGAATATCATTCTCCGTTGCCAGTCTTGATATCTCTGGGATGTCGTCAACAATGCCGTGTGGAAAGTTGGGTGCAGATGCAACTAGAAGAACGGTGTTTTTATTGATCAGTCGACGGATTTCGTCGACTGATGCCTTGTACTCAGGTGCTGGACATGAGACAAGGTGGAGTTTGATTTTAAAGTACTGGGCGGCTTTGTAAAAAGCGCGTGAGCAGTACTCGGAATGATCCTGTCTAGTCAGTAGGGCAAGTAAAAATATAAATGCTGACGGTAACTTACATCTCAGGGTTTGTGATGCCGCGCTCTGCTGCAGCCTTCTCCCGAGCAGCCAAGCATGCCATGAGAATAGACTCCGTGCCACCACTTGTGGTTACGCCTGCACCATCTTCGGGGGCATTGAAAGCGGTTAGGATCTGTTTCCTTATGTTAATCACTTGCACGAGGTTCGGCCATTTGTTCACATACCATTGCTACGATTTCCGCTTCCATCTTTCTGACTCCAGGGAAGACATCCGGATGAATTGGATTCGAGACGCTGAACTTGCCAATAGCTTTGGTTTGCATGTCTAGGAGCTCGCTGCCCCCATGGTAAACCGCGCCGCTGACTCGACCGTCCTCCCATCGCGTATGGTCCAAATTTTGCAGTTCCTCCAACTCTGCCTCAATTTCTTCGAAGCTCCAGCCCACTTCTGGAAGACAATGGTTCTTCTTGGCAGCATCTCCTTGGCGGACTAACTTTTGAGCCATCATGTTCAATATTGGGTCCATACCTTTGTCCACCCTTTTGAAGATACGAGGGGCTGGTGCTTTTTTCGGAGAAATCCATCCCCAGCATAGCTCCAGAAACCTGTTCATGCTTCCGACAACACCATAACAAGTGATACTGCCATAGACATTATGAACAGTCCGAAGGATAAACAAGACGCAGACTAGTCGCGAAACAACATCGTACTTTGTTCCCATGGGCTGCGTGAAGAGCAACGACAAGGACTTTGCAGTCTGAGTAAGAGAAGACATACTGGCACCCAATGAACTTATTTTGAGCTCTAGTCAGTCAAAGGTGAATGAGAAAAAGACCATTACTCTCTATACCCTGTCCACCATGGATTAAATACCTCGAAGTGGGCTTGGCTGCGTGATGATCTCATCACACTGAATATTCTGTTGTTTCATTCGAAAGCCGAGAGCCGAACGGAGCCAACGGAATTTTATCCATATCCGAGCCCCGAATATGTGGGATGTTAGAAAGTGCAAAGTTCATCCTGGCATATGAACATTGCAGTCGTTTAAAAGTTCTTTTCATTGTTGAAAACTTTCTTTTATTAAAATATCTCAGAGCCGTTTTCCAATTTCGCCTTCTCAAGTCAATCAGGAAACATCAAGATGCCTTTCTCCCATCACTCACATTCTGGAGAGTTTTGCCCCAGCCATGCACAGGATTCCTTAGAACAAGTCATCCAGGAGGCAATTAGGCAAGGTATGCGGGTGTTTTGTTTGAGCGAGCATATGCCGCGTGCCGATGAGGAATTATATGACGAAGAAGTAGGTCTTGTTGATGACTCGTTATATGCATTGCCTTTAGTCTAACAGATTTTAGATCAAAGCTGGCGTAACTTCTTCATTTTTACTTAGTAACGAGGAACGATACTTCTCAAAAGCAATTCAATTGCGGGAGAAATACGCCTCTCAGATCAAAATTCTCGTAGGCTTCGAATCGGAATGGATTGAAAGTAATTCTTCACTGAGGCTGATACACGAATCACTATCCAAGTATCCTTGGGAGTTTTTCGTTGGGTCGGTCCACCATCTTCATGGCATTCCTATTGATTGGAGCCGAGAGCTTTACTTGAAGGCGCGGGACATATCCGGCGGAACAGACGAACGCATGTTCGAAGACTACTTTGATTTACATTTCGAGATGTTGCAGAGTTTAAAGCCCCCGGTAGTCGGTCATTTCGATTTAATTCGACTTCATTATGACAGTACAAAGTCCTCTACAGAAGGGCTACGCAAATGGCCGGGTGTTTGGGAGAGGGTCGTGAGAAATCTTGAGTATATCTCAAACTACGGAGGGCTTTTGGAACTCAATTCAGCTGCACTGCGGAAGGGGCTCGATATGCCGTATCCCTCAGCAGAGATCTGTCAAGTAAGAATAATCTCCTTTTCCGAGACTCGCGTTATCACTACAGGACTAAAAGGGGACAGGAATTCTTGGCCATGGGTGGGCGATTCTGTCTTTCTGACGATAGCCATGGTGTCGCTCAAGTTGGGGCCAAGTACCACGAGATGTTGAAATTTGTGAAGGAACAGGGAATCCAGAAGCTCCACTTTCTGGAGCTTGCCCCTGAAGAAACGAGTGAGGTGGTTGACTCGAGATTTCCACGGACGATACAGAAGAGTTGTTCTCTGGCAGAGGTGGAGGAATTGGAATACTGGAAGAGATGAACATTGTCACGCGCTTATATCCCGCACTACGCCTTTTCTGAATCTGTCCGAGCAATTTACGCGCATGTTTAATAGAAGCTAGAAAACTATATGTCAATAGTGGCGTTTCTGCCTCGTGTCGTCTCGGGGCTCGGTCATCCGTGGTAGCTACCGGCGACCCCTTAGTTTAACCGAGGATCCCGTCAAGTTCTAAAAGCCTTTATTTAAGAATCGTATGATTGCCTTAGTCCAACTGGGTACCGGGATACTCATGTCGTAGAAGATGGACCCCCTGAATAAAGAAGCTCGCTGCCAGGACACGCTTCGGGTGGAAGGTGCGATATTGGAGCTCGACAAGGAGGGACTGACTATTAAAACCGATCAGAGTACTACAGCAGCCCCAATATAGTCACTCTACGGATGTGTTTGTCGGCTAACCATGTTATAGACACGTTTACCCGTCGAAGGACATGCAGAATTCGATATTTACACCTGCTTTGGGCTCAGGCCAATGTGGATGAGCTTACGATTCAACATGCGAGAGAGCGGAAAAAGATACTGGAACCTATGATGAGGGTGTTCTCTCTACGCAATTCAGCGACCTCTTCCGCTCGCTTAGATGCCTGGATCCAATTGCTCCTGCACCGCGCCTACGGTGAATCGAAATCACGAAAGAAGCTGAAGATATTTTTGAATCCATGCTCCGGCAAAGGTACCGCCGTCAAATTGTACCGTAAATACGCGGAACCCTTATTTGCCGCAGCACAGTGCCAGGTGGACATACGAGAGACTTCTTTCTCCGGCCAGGCTGGCGAGCTAGTGAGAGAGGACTTGGAAATTGACTCATGGGATGCTATAGTCTGCTGCTCCGGAGATGGTCTACCACACGAGATCATCAATGGCCTTGCACTGAGAAACGATGCTGGACATACTTTGAGGAAAATTCCGATTGTTCAGCTTCCTGGAGGTTCCGGGAATGCGTTGTGTGTCAACATGTTCGGGACTACCAGCATTTCCCTTGCCGCACTCTACACCATCAAAGGGGTTCAACGTCCTGTGGACCTTATGTCTATTACGCAAGGGGACAAGAGACACATATCCTTCCTGTCACAGAACCTCGGTTTATTGGCCGAATGTGATCTTGATACTGAGGGAATGCGGTTCTTGGGTGGTAAGAGATTTGAGGTCGGCTTTCTGCAACGTCTTCTTACGCCTCCCATATACGAGTGCAGTCTGGCGACTTACAGTGCTTCTAATCAATGCTCAAGAGAATCTCTGAGTGACCACCCATGCAGTCAGCTGCAAGAGCCAAATCAGCAGGGGTTGCCTAGTCTACGATATGGGTCTGTCAATGATCCTGTTCCAGACAGTTGGAAGCTCGAGCATCGTGAAACACTAGGGGTGTTCTTCGCCGGTAAATTTCCTTTTGTGGATGCTACATCCAAAGTGTTCCCTGGCGCAAAGCCTGATGATGGGCTGCTAGATGTCTTAACGGTGGATTCTGGGATAGGGGCCAGGAAGCTTTTGCAATTATTGACAAAAGCCGCGAACGGAACACATCTTACAATGCCTGAGGCCCAGTATCAGAAAGTGTCAGCCTACCGAGTCGTTCCCTCCAGGACTAGTGGTGCCTTCAGTGTGGATGGAGAGAGGTTTCCAATGAAGCCATTTCAAGTGGAAGTCCATCCGCAACTGGGCATGACATTGACCACACCTTCTATAGTAGCCAGACAAGACACCAACTACTAGTGGAGGCCAACCAAACACAGGAGTGATTTCTTCTTCTTATTTTTAGTTAGCCGTATATTTAGCTTTGTATTTAGTATTATCATGCTCCGTTATCTATTCTTTTATTTTACCCTTGGAGTCTCACTCCCTTTGCGATACAGCTGCCAGTGTTGTACCAATCAAACGAAATCCGGGGAAAGCCGTATCAAGGCTAGAGACCAGGGTTGGACGAGTACGATAAGCACGAGGCAGTAACATTTCCTAGGTGGAATGTATAACGCACGCCGAAATGGTCCAGATATACCGCGGAAGTCGGATTTCGAAAGTGCGGGGTTAAAGTTCTGATTTAACCTTGTATTTTGTTTACTGATAGAAGATCACTGATGGAATGTATATATCACAATCGATCGGACTGCACCCAGTGGTCTCTTTCGACTTTTAAAAGCTATTGCTTCAGTGTCTGTGATCTCATCACCATCCACTGTGTCTACCAACAATACCACTTATATCGAACCGCTTAGTCGAGTATCCTAGTCATCTTGACAGCCTGAGATCATGGTCGACGATGTGATCAGCAAGGGCACTAGCCCTGAGTGTGGCAAATCGTTAACTTACGTTGGGCCATCTCCTTGTGATCTCAGTCATGGGTATCAGGAGCCAATCGGTATGACAGTCTATAAACGCCGCTTCATCGGTGTTGCTCACCTGGCGCTCCTGAACATCGTTGTCAGCTGGGGTGTAAGTCGTTGGTTACAAGCGATGGTCGAACAGAGAATCTAACTGCGCAGTGGGTTACATACCCAGCAGTCCCAGTAACATCGGCGGTATTCTTGAATGTCAGTGTGAATGCAATCACTTGGCTTAGCACGGGCACTCTCTTCGCCTACTGTATCAGTGCACCGTAAGTTTGTCGGACCTGTCATCGGAGGATACGCCTCCGCGTATGCTTAGCTGACTGCTAGCCTTCTACCAGATTCGTTTTCCAAACAGTAGAGCGTCTGGGGTTGAGAGGATCCAACATGATCACCTCTGTACTCTTGCTAGTCGGGAATTGGATTCGTTATGCAGGGACAGCCTCAGAGGTTAAGAACTATGGAGTTGTTATGTTTGGCCAAATTATCATTGGCTTGGCTCAGCCGTTCTGTCTGTCAACACCCAGCAAGTTCAGTGAGAGCTGGTTTACGGACAAGGGCCGTACCAGTGCCACTGCGATCGCCACTCTTGCCAATCCGTTGGGCGCAGCTCTTGGGCAGTTTGCGAATCCGTACCTCGCCAAAACACCAGATGACATGCCCCGCATGATCCTGATAATTTCCAGCATCGTGAGTCAGGTTGATCTCTGTCAATATTCTACGCAGAATCCTATTCTAATACTCTGTGACCAAACAATAGTCCACGCTGGCCATCATGCCTTCCTTTTTCATTCCGTCCAAGCCACCGACTCCACCTTCAACGGCCGCTGCAGTTGACCGAACAGGTCTGTTGGTTGCGCTCAAGGACGTAGCTAGAAAGCGAAACTTCTGGCTTCTCTCTTTGCCCTTCTCCATCTACGTGGCACTATTCAATTCCACCATCACCCTACTCAACCAAGCGGTAATACCTTATGGTGCCACCGAAGAAGAGGCAGGCATCGCAGGCGGCATTCTGATTGGTGCTGGGCTTGTGGGAGCAGCTATTCTCTCACCACTGAATGATAAGTTCAAATGGTATATGGGCACCATTCGGAGCTTCCTTCCCATCACCTGTGCTATGTACATCGCGCTCATCTTCGCACCGGCCAGCACGTTGGGCATATGGCCTACATATGTAGTCTGTGCGATCCTGGGATTTTCGTCATTTAGCACCCTTCCAGTCCTACTGGAGCTTCTGGCCGAAATCACATTTCCTCACTCCCCTGAAATAGGCAGCACAATCTCCTGGTTTGGTGGACAAATATTCGGCGCAGTCTTTATTATTGCTCAGTCTGCAATGGTCGCTGGGCCCTCTGCTAATCCGCCATATCATATGCGTTGGTCTCTTACGTTTGCAGCGATCTTGAGTGCAGTGTTCTTGCCAGCACCACTGCTACTGACTCTAGTTGACCCTGGGGCTCTACGCCGGCGGGAGCAGTGGCATAACACAAGTCTCGAAACTGCCAGGGATTCCGCTTGACTTTTTATATTTAAACAGTGGTCTCTAGTCGGCAAGGATATCACTAAAGGACAATGAGAATGATTTGTCACCGACCTGGACATACACATATGTTGTAAGAAGCTGGATAATCGGCGAGGTAGTTGCATTTGCACATTCAACACGAAGGCTCTGGGCTACCAGATATAGAAATTTCACTTTTTACTTTTTGCTGCTCATTTCACTCGCCTCTGTAGACGTAGGAGGATACGTGCTGTCATCGAGCTAGCGCCGGGCCAGATGCAATGGAGTCCTGAGCCCTAAGTCCCGAGTCCCGAGGCCTCTTAGGTAACTATGATATCTACGGGCGACCCACTGTCATCCGATCTTAAACAGAGATAAGTTATCTACGCCTTATTTCCTGGCCCTCTTGATCTTGTGATCGAGGAGTGAAACTTCACACCCAATCCGCCACTTTCATTGGGTCGCGTTGATCTTAACCAGAGATAAGTATTATCTCTGACAGCCGAAGGCCGAGAATGATTCTGTTAAACTACCCACCAAATGCAGGGAACCCCTTAACCCCGTTCCGAATCGCGGTGAATCCTAGGCAATCGTAACATCTCTAGGTGACCCATTGTCTAAAGACCTATATAGAGATTAGTAGTCTATTTCTTGGCTTCGGTTTTCCTGATCTTCGTTAAAATTCATGGTATACGTTGTGTGTCTTTCAAGACTTCGAGGATATATTCGCAAGTTTACAGCATGATGGCCGGTGTTGCGGAGATCTACTTCAACAACGTGACATTGACTAGTGTCCGCTCGATTTGGAAGGGCGACAGGCGCAGGCGATGGGACGGTCCCGACTACCGAGTTCCGAGTGCCGAGACCCAATGCCTCGACCATCTCATCAACCAAACGCGACTGCCGAAGCCCCATCCCCGCTTCTCTCCAACACTCGGCTCACGATGCTTCATTTGCGGCTCTCGCATGTTTGCGATGCGTGCAAGGCGCGCAAGATTAGGTGCAAGAGTAAGTGTCATGTAAAATGTTTTACTACGGTAAAAGAGCTAACCCATTTTTGCAGAAACATCGGATCATTCGGAGGGCTGCGATAATTGTCACGTAGGTGGCAAATCCCCCCATGGTAAAAATGCTCACCACGTGGAATAGAAGAAGGGGCATACTTGCATCTACAGTCCCCTGAAGAGGAGATTCAAGTCTCAAGATCTGAGTCCACGGCATCGGAACCTGCGCCAATCTCAAGGGACTACCCGTGATCTGTCGGAGACAAGGACATTGGGAGTTGCTACGGCGCTGTCCTCCGCTCCGTCCGGCGGAGACCCTTCACAAGATGGTAGAGACGAGTCAACCTGGACACGAGTTCCAGATCCTGTTCAAGGATTCTCACATCGACCTCTCTATGTGGACCAATTGCTTCAAACTCGGCAGTCAACCGGACGCACCCAGAACGCTTCGTTTATCTTAGGAGTAAGCTTGCCTACTCGAATCTTCACCGAACTTAATACTTATCATTAGATTCAAGGCCGACGAGAACTATTGTACGTCATCCAGAAAAACCAGGTCCTCATTTGCGAGGTCTTGCTTAATCTTGTACCACCAGTGGCCAGCTCAAGCATGAGTTTCTTCTCCGACAGCCGATTAGACGCTCTCTCGGCATGTCTAGGTAACAATGCACTCAGGTCTCTTATTTCGAGAATATCTGGCATGGTCAAATCCCGTGTGCAAGTGCTCAATCGCAACTTCAGACCGTCTAGTATTTGGAACCGGCTGGGCGAGATTCCCGTTCTATCACCAGGAAGAGCACGCCATCTCATTGAAAGTGGGCCATCCCATGTATTGGACTGTGGGAGCAGGTGCTGATTTTCAAACGGCTTCTAGTCTACTTTGAGAATATCCACCCTCTATACCCCTTTCTGGACCGTCACGAATTCGAGACCAGGGCATTTTCACCCACTTTGGATGATGATCTTGCTAATGATGTGGCTTGGGCAGCTTTGTATCACACCGTGCTAGCTTTAGGTTGCGAATTCAATGGTGGAGGCTCGTTTGCGCCTGGTGAAGGCGAAGCCTGGAGTCTTTTCAAGGTCGCACTTGATCTTTACCCAAGGGTGTTGCTACTAAATACAGACCTCCTAGAAGTTCAGGTAAGCGAAGTCATCCATTCTCATCCATTCCTCATCACGACGAGGGTAGATCTAACTTATGTAGTCAATTACGGCCATGGTAGATCTCAAGTTTATCTCACTTTTTGTCAAAGCGCATTCTTAACAACTGTAACAGGCCATATTCTGTCTCAACATGTCGGGCACTCAGATAGAAGGGAAAATTCTATCCGAGGCAGCAAGGGTTGCCCAGCGCGCATTCTTAAACAAAGCATCTACCGGCAGTGACGCTACAATTCGTAGCCGTGTTTTCTGGGTAGTATATTACATTGAAAAAACAGTATCGTTTCATACTGGTTGTACCTCGGTAAGAGATGTAGAGTCATTTTTGCCTTTTTCTTCCTCCTTTGAATAGTTTGCTGATGCTGGTTTGACAGTTTATTGTCGACTGCGATATTGGCTCGCCCATACCTTTAATTGAAGAGGCAATCTTCGAGGATTTTGACTGGTTTTTCACTTCGATAAAGTTCGCAAGACTCTACTCGCGCATATTCACTGAGCTGTTCTCTATAACTGCAACAAAGAATTCAAGGACGACATATCTCAGCACAATATCTGAGTTCGAAGAGCTCTTGGAGCAACAATGTCAAGCAATCCCACCTCGATTCCGACCTGGTGTTAAGTTGCGACCGCAAGCATTTTCACATCCCTGCGGACTTAACGCCGCTCTTCGGGTTCACTACCACTACCATGAGCTCAAGATAGCTCTTCATCGCTTGAAGCTGCATGTTACTCGTGACCAAATCGCTCCCCGGCCGTCATCGGACATGGCTGGCATTATGAACTCAGCGCGTGCCGTAATTGAAATCACTCGAGTCATCCAGCAAGAACCGTCCACACCGTTCTTGTATGTTACGTGCCCTGTGTTGTGCGTACTCTTGCTAATATGCGCAGCGTTATTTTCTTCATGCCGTTCACGGCCTTGTTCATCTTATTTGACCAAATCATCCAAGATCCAACCCACGAAGATACTCACGGCAATCTCGCCTTACTCGAAAGTGTGACTGGGTACTTCAGTGCCCTCGAATATGCGACGAATGGGTATTTACCAGGCTCCATGCTGATGCCGTTTGCCTCTATTGCTCGGCAATTTCACTCTACTTCCCATGCCTCTCGTGGGGACAATGTCAGCAATGAAAACAGTGACAAGGGCACTACTTCTGAACAATCCACTACAGAAATGCTGGGCGTGGAACCATCCACACATAGCCAACAAATACCCTGGGAGGTTAGCGCCGAAGACCTTTCAGTTCTGAAGTCTGCTTTTCTAACATCAATATCTGCTTCTAGGTCGTTGCCTCTCAGCCGAATATTGACTACTCATCTCAAATCTTGTCATCAGCTCCCTCGAATAATTTCATGTTATCGGACAGCAGGCTCACTCCTGGTTTGGAGATCATGGATCTTTTTTGTGGTCCTGCTCATGGCGCTGATTTCTTTTTCCCTCCAAATTGATGAATTCATTGGAGACTGGTTCAGATTGTTTCACAAACCAACTTTGGATGATTCGAAAGACCAATCTATAACAAAATTATTCCAGCCCTGTAGAACGCATGTCATTAAATTGTCGACGCTTAAAGTTAACATTGCAAAGTGCGAGATGCTATACGAACATATAAGATATATTTAACCGGGGTCAACTGGAATTCACCCCCAGTCTTTCAATTGAGGCCCTAGGTCGGGGTACAAATGCGATAATAACTCCCACCGATGCAAGTATGCACAACTATTAGTAGCCACAACAGCTGCCTTCCTGCTGTCTAGAGTGCTGGCAGCATGAGAGGCTGCCACTGCGACATGGATCCATCACGTGATCTTGAACGCAATGGATGTAAAGATCCACTACAGTCTTCTGCATTATGTGCATGCCCTCCTCACACTGACTGGTTCTACCGTAAGTAAGATAGATTGAGGAAAAAGGGGATTGCCAGTTGTTTCCATGGCTGGCTTACTAAATGCAGTTTGGAAGTCTATGACGTCCAACCAGCGATTCGGCGACAGTCTAGGCAGCCAAGAAAAGTCAAAAAGTCACTCACTCTCAAAATTTAACGTACATAAAAATCGCCTCTGCTGAGATGAAGAATTGATATTCCAAGGCACTGGTTTTGAAGCATGAGCCCAGGGATGCGGCAAAGTCCCTCATGACCTCCAGCCAGCCCTTGTTTGTCGTTCAGGAGGCTCAATGTTTCTACCAAATCAGCACAATCTACAACACCTGCCCACGCTATCTCTTTTATGCGCTGCTGATCGCAAGCTGTCTCACTCGCTGGACAGGGTGGCTCGCCGATGTTTTCTTAGGCGCCGCTGCCACATACGCAGGCACTGCCGCAATCGAGGCATTCATTCTCCTGGCCAGCCCCCAGAAAAAATCAGAACCGGAGCTAGTCACCATTCCTTTCATTTCCAAGAACACCACGTTATGGAACGATTTCCCTCAGCTGATTACCGAAACAAACCAAGTTCTCGTTCAGCCTGCTTCTCTGGAGTTCGACGCTGATGCGGTCGTCGCAATCGTCGTGACGGGATACCTTGTTTTCTTACCGCTTCAATGCTGGTCTCGAATTCTGACCCACCAAAGAGCACGCAATCTGCTATTCAGTCTTTGGAATGTTCTGATGCTTGCCGGTGCTATCTGTGCACTGGTATACGCAGCAAAAAACTCTAGCGCCCCGCCACAATATATGTTCTGCTATCCAGACCTCCCGCCATTCGACCAAACATCCAGCGATGGCTGGCAGCCGTCATGGAGACTATCTACTTGGAACGACAGTGTTTGGGGCACCTTCTCCAACTTCTCTCGCTGGGGCCAGTTGGGAGACATTTGTTTCAACCCTTGTTTCAACTCCAGTCAAATACTCAGAGAACCGACCTCTCTTCAATCCTGGGTCGCCACCAAGGACTCCGAGCTTGCACATCCCCAAAAATTCTGGACGAAACTAGCTTATTCAAGGCGGTATATCTATAGCCTGATCATCCTCTGCTTAGTGCTTAACGTCGTCAACTTGGCGTACAAATTCCTTCCTTATCGGTCGCAAATTCCATCCTCCAAATTGGTTGTGATCTGGCGAGAAAGGAAGAACATCCTCAAAGGACTCAAAAGAGAATTAAGCGAAGCACGCTCAACTGCTACGGAGCAACTGGAAAACAAAGAAACAAAAACATACCCCAATACCAGCGTCCGAAACTCACCTTGGTTCCGCGCCCGACCATTCTTCAGCGCCATATTTCTCAGAGCATTGCTGCGAGTTGCGGTGGATAGTGCAATTCTCCTTGGTCTGGTCTTCAGCATGGTTATCAGTCCCTTTACCATTATCGCGTTTGTGGCATGGGCCGAGTGGACTATATACAACGATGGTCCGGCGCAGGAAAAGCCGCAGCAAGTCGGGCAATGGTCTTACCTGGTTTCTGTTGGATTCTTGGTACTCTCTGCGGCCATACTTATGCTCAAGTACCGCCTTGCAACAACCTCTGAGCTAGACGAGGAGATACAGAAGCTGAAACGCGATTTACAGAAGCTAGAGATGCGAAGGGAATCGCAAGCACGGCGGCGCACGGCTTCTAGCACAGGAGATGAACATGATCCATGAGATAATGCAATGAGTCTAGCACTAACTACCAGTCCTCTGTCCTCTCCTTTGGTTGGTAGGTGCGTGATTTAAATTATGTAGAAAGACTCTTTCCTGGTCTTCATACTGGCACGTTGCATGGCAGGACCCGTATAAGGAGTGGCGGTGAGATCTTCGTTGGGTCAGGGCTTTTAGGGCTCAGAACAGGCGCCGCAGGCCGGGCAAAAGACAGTACAGGTACATGCTAAAATAGTTGAGAACGAAGCAAGTTCTCTACGGCAAAAGGAGAAGAACCGTCAGGGATCGAGGATGCATCTAGCCGTACAACCTTTCTTTGCTAGAAACAGTCAGTATCAATTGGCAACGAGGCCCATAGTCCCATCGCCGCAAGGCAGCATTATTCCAAATCTCAGTATCGTTGGTCGTCTACGTGCAATTACAAGAAGCCTTTCTGTGTCATAGTTTTTGGAAGGAGCTCCGAGCTCCGAGTCCGGAATGAGGAGGCCACAAACAAACTTAGCATCTGCATTTGGATTCTCCACCCCAACCCATGGTATCGAGTATCAGTATTCTAGATTGCTGATGCAGGGTCATTCCACACACTCTGCGACCCATTTCTTCCATTCTAGACTACTCCATAAACTATTGGGCCATATTTTAGCCACCAGTTAAAGACATTTCACAGGCGTCTAAGACTGGAGCTTTATCATCTTGGAGGGAAAAAAAAGGTTTGAAAATGAAGACTGAATGCTTGGGACCAAGACTAGGTTCGCAGACAAGTGTAGCCCAAAAGTAAAAGATCCTAGAAAATGCTCATCTCGACAGTGTTCGTATAGTCGATGTTGGCATCCACTCCTTCAATCCGGTCGCAGCAGGTACCAAACACACGGTCCCAAACACGCGTTTGTTTGCCATAATTATGACTCTTCCTCCACCCCTTTCTGTGATGAAGATCATGATCTTCAATGACCAATTCCGCGTCGAACATCCGCATGAGCCAGGTCAACGGATTAGGCGGCGATGCATGGAAACGAAGACCGCTGTGTCCAGCCAGCTCTGCGAACAGGACGTAGAGCTGACATATATGCCACTCATAGAACCCCATTGGGAAGCCCATGAACTTCATTGTAACATAGGTCATCAGGGGGATCCCTGCGATATCGAAGAACTCTTGTTCCGAATCTGCGTATATTGTAAGGAGTGGATTGGGGTGCTTGGTAAGGTGGTGCGTCCGGTGAAATTTCCAGAGTCCGTTTACATCATGCATGATGCGATGGTACCAGTAAAACCAAAAGTCAAGGACGATGCCGTACAGACTGACTTCGAGGGGGAGCCATCGCAAATTTATAGACGTTGGAGTTTCATTTGCCGAGTAGGTAAGATACACTATCATCATTGGGCGAACGAGGCTGGCCAGCATGACAGATGTTAGTACCTTGGACACTCCCACGTCGGGGATGCCATCACGCTCGTGTTTGTCGCCGTCTAAAAACCCATAGGTATGGCCAAGCTCGCGAAGTCCTCGGAGTTCTCGGCTGGTGAATATTCTGTTACTGTAATAGTAGAAGCCGAACGCCACAATGGGGCCGAAGTTTTGGCCGGTAAGGTATACAAAAAGCTGGTGGACGATGAGTGGGATGCTAGCGTGAAAGATAATCCACCGGTGGAGAGACCAGTCTGAAACATAAGGTATCTTTTCCTCTTTTGAATGAACCGGGACCTTTCTATCAAGGTCAACATGGTAAAGGTTTGCATGTTCGAAGAGTTTGTGTGATAGTGTCCACTGGCTTCGATCCCATCGGCGCCATGTCGACCTCATCGAGTCTTTCGGGTTTTTAAGATGTTCCATGGTGAGTAGAAGTATATTCGTGATTATCCTAGATCAGGGCATGGTGGCATGGGCAGAAAGGATCATTTTAAAATGAATCTACTTTGAACAATGTCACGAAAGCCGAGGACCGATAATACTGCATATCGCTAGATATGTATTGCTTGTCTTCACGTGGAACCTGCTAGTGGCCGGTTTCCAACAAGCATCAGGATTGGCGTGGATTGGACATTCGCAACTCTTACCTATGAAGGTAGGATTTGCGGCAAGTCTAAACCCCAAGGGCCTTGGTTCGACACGACACTGCGCCAAGGATGGTCTACGGACCAAAAGTTGCTCCGAAATAGCTTTACCTCCATATCTGATCAAAATAATCCCTGAAACCCTCCATCAGGGTAGCCTTACTGCTATGCACGAGCAACACTAGTGTTTTCTCATTTTTCAAGTCTCCGATCATGATTTGCGCATCTGTAGGCTCCTCTTATACCGAGCCGGTGGGGCCTTTCAATCGAGAATTTCCATTAGACCAAGGTATCTAGGTCAACTGGACACTATAGTGCGCGGTAAAGAAGCCGGTGATAGAGTGTACCTCTTACCAACAGAGAAAAAAGAATGGAGATAGAAGCACTCACTCTTTTCTTGAATGCCTGACTATACGGCGTCACAGGGAACTGCCTTGAGGGAGTGGGTCTCGTTCTTGGCGTCTGTACACCCTGTCCTTAGTACCATCCCGTCGAATGCTGCCTGTTGACACTCTGGATCCTGTACGATGCATCTTGCTTGCTTCATGTTGTGGGAGCTCTGCCACCCAAAAACACAGTATACAGGCAATGTTCATTGGAGCGTATCTGCCCTTTGGCTAGAGCATATGCAACAACCCTGGCCTTTTACCCTGACAGAGGGTTTACCCTTCGGTAAGATTTGCAGTATAACAACAGCTAGGTACTAAGGTTATTGCTGTAGAGCAAATAGTAATCCAACCACCCACATCTTAAATGTTGGATTATGTCAACATTGGCCCGCTAGAGAGTAGGGACAGACAGAGGAGAGGTTTCGATGTTGAAATCCAATAACTAAGGGTGTCAGGTCGAGAACGAGTTCAGAATTCAGAGGAAATAGGTTTCAAGACCTAAATCAAAAGCTCGATATCCAACAAGAATAGGAGAGAGAAATAAATGGTTCCGCAACAATAGCCACTCCAGTCGAATATGTGAAGGGCTGAAAATGTACTTGAAGTGAGTACCGAGGGGGTCTAGAATAGTGATGCCCAGTATTGGTTAGAAAGTGCTTTCTGTGGTGTAACCCTAGTTCCCACGGCCTGCGGTGAGTGCCATTCAGCGCCTGTTAGCATATCACCTGCCAACGATAGGGCCAACCGCGACCGTGCGACCAAGGGAAAACACCATGACTGGGGGATTGATAAAAGTCATTAATGCCTCGACTGCTTAGTTCCAAATTCTTTTTATACCGAGGCTGCGCATCGTTCTGCAATTCTCGAAGGCCTTGTTTGCGGGTGGATCTGTGGGGTAGAAGATCAAAACAATCTGGGGTAGGTCGATCGGCCAGTTGCCAAGGCAACGTCTAGCCGCTTCTGAGATTTTATATCAGACTTGCACGACAATGTCACAAATAATCATTCTCTCCTGCCTGATGCTGTATTCTGCCCACTAATTCCCCCGGCACTGCTCTCACGATACCACGATATCTCGCTATACACCTCAATCGTCGATTCTGTCGAATATGCAAGCAGCGCCAGGGTAAGATATTCAACTATGGGGTCTGTGGCGCTCGAGGCTAGGTTCAGGCATCTGGCCATAGCGGATGAGAACGATCACCATGGTGTAGCTAAAGCGCAGGAAAAAACCAAAGTGCGTATATTACAACTACTCTGTGGTTAATTTTGGGACACAATTAACGACAGAGATTAGGTTGCGACATCCACTACACATCCGTCAACAACTCCTTCCAAGACCAGACACCCTCTCTCCGTTGTTGTGTCGCAAGAATCAGATCAATCTGTTGAATCAGAAGATGAGCCTGCGACTACAGATGTCAAATCAGAAGCCAAAGCCCAAGACCCTACTCACTCCAATGCAGCCCAAATAAAGGCGAAGCAACCACGTTCACCACTTCGGCACCCTATCTCCGTTCTATCGCAAGCGCCGAACACCGCTGGGGGGCAGCACCCTGTCCGGCTTACCAAGCAACCGTTGCCTAAAGTGTTTCATTTGGGAATGTTCGAGGTCGGTCGTGCACTGGGTAAAGGAAAGTTTGGGCGCGTATATCTTGCTCGAGAACGCAGCACCGGTTTCGTTTGTGCTTTGAAAGTACTCCACAAGAATGAAATTCAAAACGGAAGGATCGAAAAGCAGGTGGCCCGTGAAATCGAGATTCAGAGTAACCTCCGACATCCCAATATTCTTCGACTCTATGGTCACTTTCACGACCGAAAACGGGTAATTTTGATATTGGAGTATGCTGGCAAGGGTGAGCTATACAAGCACCTGCAAAGAGAGGACCGTTTTCCGGAGTGGAAAGCTGCACAATACATTGCGCAAATGGCGAACGCTTTGCTGTACCTACACCGCAAACATGTTATTCACCGGGATATTAAGCCCGAAAATATCCTCGTTGGTATTCATGGAGAGCTAAAGATGTCAGACTTTGGCTGGAGTGTCCACGCGCCGAGTGGCCGCCGGCTCACAAAATGTGGAACATTGGATTACCTGCCCCCAGAAATGGTCGATCCCAGGAAGTGTGATAAGCCCTATGATCAAAACGTTGACTTATGGTCCCTAGGGATCCTAATGTATGAATTCTTGGTTGGAAACGCTCCATTTGAGGATACACCTATTATGACACAAAGAAGGATAGCGAAGGGAGATATGACAATCCCTTCCTCCGTCAGCCCTGAAGCAAAGGACCTTATCAGAAAGGTAAAGTAACTGTTTCTGCCGCAACCCACTGAGCAATACTAACAGCATTCAAGCTTCTTGTTCTCGACGCGGATAAGAGAATTTCCCTTGAGAATGTCCGGCAGCACCCTTGGATTATCAAGTATTGCTCCAAGGATGCGAATATCGAGGAGAAGGATGAGTGACTTGGCTTCAGGATATATATATCAAGTTAGTCATGTAATAGAAATCATATAGTACCATCTAAGCACTTGATTCATGTTTAGATCCATTGGTATAGTGAACGACTAGTGACCCATCCAATCGACATTAGTCCACCTTTAAAGTCTTATAATGAGCCAAAATCTCATATGAAAGAAAAAGCCTTGTCTGTTGGAGAGGTGCCTGGGAACGTGCGAGGCTGTGCCAAGAAGGGATGGGATATCATGCAAGCTGTTACATATAAGGGCGAGTGGAGTGGTCCTGGAGAAACTGTCCAGCTATGAGCAGCCGAACTGGTCTTCTGCGCCGGTATATAATTACAGATATGGTGACGGTAAGTTTGTCTCGGATTTCAAGAGTACATATCACACAAACATGAAATCTAAAATCCAACTAGACCTACCCTATGGACCTGATGATATTTCTGAATTTGCAGAATGGGCGTTCAGTGATGATGGTCTTCCCGACCTTGCCGTACTTGCTTGGGGAGACTTCTCATATGAAGGTCGCTATTCAAAATTCAATGCCCTTCTGTGCAGGTCTGAGAATGGCTATCGACCCCTAAATTCGGCTGACGTATCACTTTGGGATCTTGTACAAAGCAATATGGACGTGCTGGCAGCCTGTCCTTTGGACGATATCATGGGATAATAGTATCACTATATAAGTTCGTAGCACTAGTTTCTCATCATCGATTAATTTGGGTATGGCCTCAGATTGATAAGAGGGAATCTCATACGTTAATAGTCCGCCACCTCGATATTTAAGCTTTGCAAATATCTGATGTAGTTATATTAGCCCAGAGATTGAGCGCAAGGATTCTAGAGTACTGTCAAAATATTATAATTAAATATCTGCAGATATAGCCCCCTACAAAGCGCCAACGTATATCAAACATATAGTGGTAATTGAGAAGCGTGGACCATCACATCGGCATGCTACTATATTAGAGAATTGTCATGTCAATGCTACCTGTCTATTTATACTACATACCTTGGAGATAGGTATTGAGAGAATGATGTCAATCAAGGAGATTCCATTCAATTGCGAAAGCTATCCAGGATGTGATGTTCATGTGTACCCAAATACATAGAGTTGGCGGCATCCAGCTTCCTTTGAATACGGAGTATGTTACACTTGGCCACGTTTGAGAATCAGATGGCCTTTGAAAAGAAGAACGGTATACTGTAGTGGACACATCGCTCAGGCCAACACATGATAATGAGGAAGGTGGCACTCCATCGACAGGAGTACCAGCTTAACCCTCGAGTATTCTAAAACATGCTGCAAAGGAAAGACGAAGAAGCATTAAATCTGTACTAGATATTGAAAGTCAACAAACTTTAACATTAGTAAGGGGGTATGGGAAAGGATATTTCTCATGGCCGGGAGTTTGATATAATAAAACACAAAAGTAGGATTTTTATGGCAAGCTAATAGTTTGAAATGGCGAATATATTGCGAATAAAATTATGGTAATACTTGACAGTATGGGAAACCAGTCTTCCACTCACAAACCGCTGTATGCTCCCACAAAAGCAGCAAGTACGGATAACATTTCCTGAATATGACATTCATTCAAAGGTTGCTGGACAGCATGGAAGCACAGGGGAGACCTGAAGCCAGGAGAAGATGACTCGAATGGAATAGTCCACAGGCTAGGCTGGAACACGGAGAACGATATCACAATTCGGTGAATATAGCCAGATAATATCATCCTACCTTGATTAGCTTGGTCTAGTGAGGAATGTCCTATACCCACCCCATTGAATAGATTCTCGGGGTTTGCTTCAAAGGGGATTGATTGCGGCAAGGAATCAACTCTGCTAACATACTGGTATCTTCCAGCCTTCACAAGAGAAAACCTCAAAACATGATCCGACATGTAGTCCATTTCGACTATACCAGCTTGGAGTGACGTGCGTTCATACCACTGCCCCAAAGTACTAGTACCACCATCGTTGTATATCAATAGCATACCTGTACAGCGAGGCCCTAAATAACAGGCTTTGAGCTTTTTGACGTTTGTCAAAGAGGCCCGCGAAGTAAAGCTGCTCCAGGAGCACGTGTGGAGAAGACCTAGGTAACTGAAATGATATGGCATGTTCGGCTTTATATGGTGTTTTGATATCAAAGAGGATGAATAAGAGCGACATACAACACCTAGGCTCGTGAAGTTAGGGAGTCCTGGTAATATTTCATAATATAAGCCAAAGGAATCACCACAGTCACTGCTGAATAATGTCTTCAGCTGAATTTCTGCAGGAGATATATATGGCCCGAGAGTAAGATTTCGTCCCCTGTCCGTGGTAATCTGCATCGGAGTCAGAGGATACGTATTAAGAAAGGGTGGGGAGCGTACTGCAAGATATGACTTGGAAGCCCTATCCCAGACCACTGATATTGATGTCAAATGTTCGGAACGCGCAAGTTGAACATGTACTGGACAGCCTTGTTGTTGGCCATACCAAGATACCGTATGACTAATATCTGACAACGCGTTGAAATGTACTCCCAAGCCGACAAAGCCTCTGCTAGAACAAAAGGCAGTAAGACCGCATAAATAGTGCCCATCCCGGTGTAATGGGACATGGGCCATAAACCGTTTACCTTGGGAAGAAAAGTCGCAACTTCGCGGCCAATCGTAGAATGAGTTCGCCGATAAAGTATAAAGTTGGCTTGGCAGCCACGGGCTCACCCAAATAAAGTCATGTCCGAAAACTTCCTGATTCTCAGAGTCGGGAACCCACTTGAAGTGAGAGATTTTCATACCCTGTTTTCATCAGTTTCTTAGCTTCTTTTTTATAATATGGTATCATACATCCCACTGTACTTCTATCCAAGGTGACTGTGCTGTTTGAGCATAGATAATACCAAGAAACTCTTGACTCTTAGCTTTTGAGCTCGTGATTTTTGTTGTGCTTTTTGACAACATGTCTATTTTCCGTAGTCCATATAAGCCGAGAGTAAACGCGAATGCAACCACAGAAGGGGATGTTGAGTATCTAGTACACCAGTTACTCCTATACCCGTAAAGTATATCGCCTATACAGATACCGGATATATAAGTTCCGTCTAGGGTGGAGATAAAATAAAGATAAATCTCTCCCGATAATTGAACAGTCGCGGAGGCTGTGGTTGTATCTATAGCAGGCCAAATTGTCTTGGCAGCGCAGAGAGAGAGTAAACAGCGAACAGGCGAAGGCGGTATAAATTCCCAGATGATGCTAGTAAGTTCCGGTGGAAGGTTCCCAATATCGTCAATAAGCTTATTTAGATTTGCCCGGTGATCATTATATAACGGAGACGGGGTGCTCGCAAGAAATGAAGATGTAGTTGTGTCTTTTGCTTCCAGGGGCGGAGGTGAGTGTGATAAGGAATAACTTGCTATCGACATGATCTGGTAATGGGAGTAGATACTCTGTGGGAGCTTCGCCCAGAGAAGCGGGTTCATTATTAGTCCAAGATTATAGACAAAGTGGAGTGACGGTGGTCTGTCTATTGCTGTCCAGCAAAGGTTATGAATCGAGGGTGCAAGCCTATATGCTGTCGGGTTATTGTCTGAAGCAAGTATATAAATGTTAAGTTTCGGTAGAACAATTGCACTATCCCTCCCTTGGAAGTTCAGTAGCTCCGTTAATATTGGGTCTTTGTGTTGGTTCACGAGAACGACTTTTCATGTCAGCTAGGTAGAGACTTGAAAGAATATAGAGTTTACCAGAGCGGAAAGATATGCGCAAGTTGAACTTTTCACCACACAGTGAACAGTATGGCATCCTAGTATATACGATAGTCTCCATAGGTACGTTCAAGGTGTAAAGCAGAGAATTAAATCGGATTATTAGTTTGATTGAAATGAGAGCTGAGAACTGGATTAACAATGGGGTTCTCTCCCGACATAAATACGGAAATTCTGAAGCCTTGTATCAGATAGGAGGTATCAAGTAGGGGAAGAGAAGAGGTGGGATATGTAGGCAGTAATCATGTGACGAAGATTGATTTTATGCAAATTGGACAAACAAGAGCGCAACATTCAGCGGTGCCAATTTGAGCAGAGATGATGGATCCAGAGCCGAGAATAATCCGTTGACTGCTAAGAAGGCATTTTATTACCACCCAGACTTGAATCTAACTGTCTATCACTGCACTAAAGATTGCCTGGCTACTGAGACCTCCTTGGCAATGGACTGACATGAACTACAACAACAATGGCTCAGTACCTAGAGAGGATGACGCTTTTAATACGTAGCTGGGTATGGTAGTAGAATAGCTAATCTATAGATTGCAATAGGTTTTGCCTAGCATTACCCTTCTTGCATTGCCCAAATCAGCAGAATACTATAAAGGATGGGGAATGATCAATCTGTCATTGGGAAAATAAAATCTATGCACGCTTCGCTTCTTGGGGAAGTCTCTCCATTGTATGATCGACATAGCGCATTCGTGGGTGGTCAACAAAACAGCCATTCTCAACAACACATTCGCTCGGTGGGCCACCCTCGGCTGCATTAGTTGATATCATCCAGAGATAAACGCCTCCAACAGTAGACAGAAGAGTCATGGCCTTGGCATATTAGCGATGTGGACATGATGCAAAGCTTGCTGATAATGTGGTGGTCGTAGATCCGTACCACCTGAGACATTAGGATGAACAGATGTGGAGGCAGAAGGTGAGTTGAGCTTTCTTGTGTAGTAATTGAGCAGTATGGGCCCGGTAGATGAGCATTTTGTTCGATTCTAGAAGGCTGAAATGCTCCCGTTCAGGATATTGGAAGTAATACTGGCGCCGCTTTGATAAAACCAAGGATCTGGTGCTTTTTCCAACATGTCACGAAAGGTCTTCTTAATCAACTCCGCAGAAGCGGAATCGCCCAGATCTTTATAATCGCTGCTAGTTCCACGACTGGAATCACCCCACAGGGCTTTTAGTTTGCGGTCATGGTTATGAACGATCCACAATCGTATATGGACGCCGACGAGGGTAGCAGCGTATATGAACCCGCCGGTGTTAGACTTATTGTCGAAGAAATCCTCGCAGTAGTTGAGAACCTGGTCCTCGACAGCGCAGATATCATAGTATTCACTTTGGTGAGTCCCCGTCGCCTTGATAAAGCATGTAGTGTGTGGCAGATCCGAGGCGGTGGTATAGTTGATCGCAAGGTCGGCTCGCAAGTCTGAATCAGTGAGCGGCGGACACTGAGAGTTGACAAATACCGTGTCATATCTTTCATCCCCCGCAAAGATCACTTTGTTGAGGACATTTTGTAACACATGAACACTAATGTTCTCGTTCGGTCTCAGCAAACCAGGTGGCGGGGGTAAAGGGATACAAGCCTTGTCGTAGACCGGTTTATTGGCCCATGTGATAAGACCGTGTGCAATTTCATTGACGTTCATCGTGCCTGGGAGAGAATAGAAAACTTATATTGGGATGATAACCAAAGTTAAGGGCATTTGCTATTATAACCGATCGGCGCTGAAGGGCAGCCGATGCCTTAGCATCGGAGCGGTTCATTGTTGGAGCTCATTCTGCCATGAGAACCAATCGAATCATTCGTAATGGGGCGAGATGGTCCCCCGAGCATATCCATGTCACAATGACTGGCCTAAAGGGCTTTTCCAGCCTCTTGAACACGTTGTCTGTTTTGCGATAATGCGCTATATTCTTTGGGTGGGTTGAACGATTGGATACGGCAGGGGTACCATGACCATGTCTCCGTGCCCTACGGCGCCAACACTCCCACCCGACGGATAGTGAACTTACTCTTATCCTTAAACATAGCAGGCCTGTTCTTAAGAACCTGAATCTAGTCCTTTTTGCCTACTGGTATGAATAGCTCATCAAAATATAGATGTTTTACCGTACGCTAGGCTTTAGATAACAAGTGCAACCCTCCGGTGGCTCCAATACTTGATAGTAGCTCCACTATTTATACCTCCAATGGATACCACATGTATACTTGATATTTTATGTTAGGTGGGGTGGGCGATTGGATGAACAGACCCCGCATCTATGACCCCGGCACATCTTATCAATTACTCCACCTACATGAGTCTCCAGGTAGCCGCCCCCTTATATGACGCTGGTATTACTAGAGTAGCGTAGAGCTAGAGTAGATTAGGTTAGGTTAATGGCGCATAGATATATTGTTCCGTCCATGGTTAACCTAGATATGAACACTACATAGACTGATTGTGTGCTATCAAGCTCTTTAGATTTATTCTGTTACAAGATATTCAAAGAGCCTACTTGTATCTGCTAACCCCTATAGGGCCTATGTTCTTGGTATGTGAAAAATTGTAACCAAGTTCATTCTCGACTGATCAAGTGAACTTGACGTAAACAAGGAAAAGAATAACGTCGGATTAAAGTTTTGAGTGCCACAGCTTGAGAGGATTGTACGCAGTATGAGATGCTGATCTGCAGTAACACAGTTGATAAGCGAGTGGGCAGTGTATATCGCTTGAACAGGATAAGCAAGTGAGCAGACCCCAGGAGATCAGTCATTCTGAGATCTTTTTAGGTTCTCAAGTCGGAGGAAAGTTAATCGACAATTCTGACTATTCAGAAAAGAAGGCACTTGTTTCACACAGGTAGATCTATATTTATTCCCTGATAATTCCAGTTGTTCCTGAAATTATATATCTCTCTGGGGGCTTGGAAATAAGAGGTGAAAGTTGGTAGATGAGTGAAAAGGAACATCACCTTTGGCTACCGAGATAATAGAAAAAGTAGAATAATAAAGGTAGAGAGAACCAGGATAGAAGACTGAAAGACAGAAAGTTAACCGGGGAAAAGCTCTATACTCTTCAGTCGTGTCCAGATCAAGATAGTGATCTTATCTGGCTGGTTACATGACCACGAACAGCGTGTATCTTCACAGTTTGTTCGTTCCGAACCCTTTTTCCTAGATGGTCTGGACTATGTTATTCGGAAATAACTAATGAGAGAGTCTTACCTGTTGCAGGACCAAGAACCGTCTATACATGACGTACTAGTTGCAGCAGTAATGTGACTAAGTTTCATAACACTATTTTTCACAAACGAGTAACCAATGCTATGTTCTGATCCAATAGAAAAGGTATCACAGGTACGTTTGCATGTACCCTTTGCGCGACTCTCTACAATTCCATAGAAACAAAGATCTTCCATTCCAGACAAGATAATGCGACCGAGGATCCGGCAGTCGGCAAGTCTAAAAGTGGACCATGACTCGACAGCCGTCAATCATACCTTATCTGGGAAACACCAAATTCCTCGGTCTCGAGTTTCGATATTTACGGAGTACGTCAAGTTTCGGATAAAAGATCAAAATTTTCACTTGTCGAAATTAGAATAGAATAGCCCAGGTCAATCCCGACCGACATCCAAACCATGAAAAAAAATTATAATACAGCAGGTCATATCATAAGGGTATTAAATATGTCCTGCCCGATGCATCGCAAGACGAATCGCCGAGAAAACAAGCACATAGACAGATCCTTCCCATTATTTACCAGAAGCCAACCACCAGGAAAAAGTATCTAGGCAATAACACCCATCAAAGCCGAGCAGAAGACCATAGCCAAGAGACCAAGTCCACCCTTGGAGACAGCAGGCTGGATGGCATAGCCGGCGCTGTCGGAGGAGGTAGAGGAGGCGCCGCTGCCGGTGGAAGTACCGGTCTTGTCGCCGGTCTTGGTGGAGGACGGGGCGGAGGCCGTGGCTGTGGCGGTATCGTTGCCCTTGCAGTAGAACTCGCGGCCGTCCTGGGCGCCCTCCTTGCGCAGGCAGTCCTTGAGGTCGCCGACACTCTGGCCTTGGGCGAGACAGTAGAGACCACAGCCGTTGTCGAATTCGGTCACCTTGGCGGGGGTACAGCACTTGTCCATCACGTCGGAGTAGTTTCCGGTCTTGGGGAGGACACAGGCGGCATCCTCGACGGGGACCTGCCAGTAGGACAAGGTGTTGCAGGCGGTGGCGCTGGCGGCGACGGAGGTGGTGGTGGTAGACATTTTGGAGGATGTTGTTTGGGCGAGTCTTGAGTTGAACGAGTGTATTCGAGTAAAGATGTAGACTCGAGATGAAAACGAAAGACTGGGGAGAGAATAGCTTGACAGGAGCAAGATAGGAGGCGAAAGGATCAAGGTGAGACGGGTGGGAAAGTCAAAACGAGCTTTATATTTATTATTCTACCTCAAGTAAAGAAAGCAATGGGCTGACAACCAGTGACAGGCTTAATGCTAACTGGTTCTCGCCTCTTGCTCCACTCACTCTTTCTGGCTTGGCGTCGGGAGCCCGATTGGTGATCGGCAATCCCTGTCTCGGTTGTTCCATCGTGATTGGGTTTTATTTATATTGACCCGGTGAAGTTACACGCGAAGACGACTAAAAGTACACTGCAGGTGACTTGGTGCCATGTCGTTGGGTGGTTGACCAGAACAACTCATGGTACATCCTACAAGGTTGTTCTTGTTTCTTGTCTGCGCCTCCTTGCATACGTACTACGCAGGCATTTGGCAGCCCTATCAATGACTGAAAATTTCGCAGGGGAAAAGGTTTCCACGGCTGGACCATCTCCGACACTCCGCCCCAGACTGGTCACATTATTGGCAGGACCCCTTCTATGGGTCCCTTTCTTTGTCCCGGATTTCAGATTTTTAGTCTCCATACCCCGTGATTCATCCGGTTTGGACTCCGCCACATACGTAAATATTTACATAATATTATGACTGGCGTGAATAACCGAGTTTACCTATCATACTGGGGGAATTCAAAATGGCAGTGGTCAGCCAAGAAGAGGTGTTCTCTTCCTAATTCATCAGGCAGAAGCGAGTCCCCAAGCCCACAATATAACGAGTCACTGCCGCTCCCGTTGCATGCACTGTACAACGCCCATTGTGCAGTGACTTCCCCCGTAATCCACACATCCTCTTCAATCCATGCACAATCAATATATTCATCAATTCAGAAGAGGCCAAAAGGCGATTTAATATCTAAACTCAAGCTGAGTCGGTATCGACTTCCGAATATCCATACTTCGTCAATAATTCCCCCTCAGCCCCTCTCCATGTCCGACCCTGTAAATGCCCCAGGCAGAGCTGCTTCCCTTCATTGGGATAGTACAGCCAACAAGCCCATTTATGCCACTGGCCCTCCTTCATCTGCTGTCTCGCCTGCTGGCCAACCTTATCCTCAATAAACTCACCCCGCCGCATCGTCAGCCGATTCGGGAACACCCGCAAGAGGTAATGCTCCGTCGAGGCAATATGCGGTTTATCAAACCAGAAATACAGCGGCGTCAACGGCACAGATACCTCCGGCTGTGATGGCGGGACAAAATCCCGCGTTAGATCTTGAGTCAAGGCCCGCAAAGCCGGGAATTCCACCACATAGGGCTGCGTCGCATACGAGAGCATGCGCACCGAGGGAAACGACACGTATTTAACCGGCGCGACTTGATCTGCGTCCGAGCACTCCATGATCTCCAGTAACGGTGCTAATGGAATATCGGCGACGAGCGCCCAGTCATGTTGCTGGACCCAGACGTACGGTGTCTCACAGACCCGCAGGGCGGAGCGCACGGCCAGACCGAACCCCAGACGCGCTGCGGGCTCGATGAACGTCACTTGCTTGTCATCGGTCTGTGTGATGGACAGATCGACCACGTTGCTGAGGTTGTTGAGACCAAATTCGGCCTGGTCCTGCCATTCTTGCATCACGTGGTCAGAGCAGCCATCGGGGGATGCATATTCGCGTAGCATCAGTTCCTTGATATTTTGTTTGTAGACGCCGTAGTTTGCAGCTACTTCGGGTGTGGCTTGCCCCTTTTTCAGGCGGGAGCGAGGTCCGACGCGGTCAAAGGTGTCAAAGACCACAATGACCCGGGCACTGATTAAGTCCGTGCAATGGCGACGGAAAGACTGCAGTACGGAGGAGATCAGTTCCGTAGAGGGGTTTGACGGGGTGGGGGAGGTCGTGACGATCACAGTCAACTGACTGGATCTGGGCACCATGGGTGCTTCACGACAGAGGGTGAATGCCTCTATTTCGTTCTTGGATTGACTGTATTGTATAACGCAGCCGGATGAGTGGGCGAAACGGTCGGGAAAGTTTTTCCCTAGTTTTTCCGCTCCGGCCGTACCATTTTTCGTGGTGAAACATTACAAAGTTAATTGAATGCCATCGTGATTGCCTGAGGCACCAGTTCCCGATCAGGGAAAGTAAAGCGACTGGGCAAATGGTGAACTATCTAGTGGGGCATGGAACTAAAGGCTCTACGCCAGATCAAACGGTTTCTATGGCAAAAGACATCAATTTGCCATTATCTGCAACATTACAAAGACTGGAAGAATGGGAACAGTCATATCAAGGTAGTTCACAATGGCCTCTACACTGGCTGAAGACAGCTGGTGATGTCTCTCCTATTGGTCCAAGCCCTAAGTCGACCGGATTCCTAACGTGATTACAGCTACTGTTCGTATTTTCTCTGGGCTTTCAAAATCATTTGTCTCACGGATTGTGACAAGCTAATGTATTTATACAAAATTTCTTGGAGCCATACGTGCCTTGATGACCGTCTAGTGCGTCAGTTCTAGGACAATCCATTGGAACTGTCAGTCAAGATCTGTCAAAGTATGGTTTACTTCTTGGATGACACGGTTCAATTTTATGGTCCTGGTGGAGCTGTGTTTCCTTTTCGACTGCGCGCGGGACTCTGTTCATATCAAGACGAGGTTTCCGGCCAGTGGGAGCTGTGCCTACATATAAACAGCCGTCTTTCCCCAGAAGTGGTTCTATATTGAACCTCTCCATGTCAATGTCAGCGCTTGACAGCCAGCAAATATCCCTGTTAGTGCACAGGGTTTCTGTTAACCACAACCTTTCTCATTGACTTCTCTCCTCTGCCTACTGCAATGTCCCTTAGAGCTTTAGGCAAATTATTGTATGGAGTTATAGTTGATATCAGGCAGAAGGGTTGGTATTACTCATATTATTGACCCAGTCCGGCCTATCTGTCCGGAGGACTATTAGCACAATAGTCCTCAGATCCTTCACTAAGCTCAGGTTTGAGCTTCACAACACCCATCTCATCTCAATATATTATAACTGCATTCTGGGCCATGACTACACTTCAGAAAATGACAAACTCTAATCCTGCCCCACCATAGTATCTTTAATCCATACCGTTCGAAACTTTCCTTTCAGCTGCACTAAACAAGTACCCTTGCTGTCCCCACACCTTGAGGGCTTCCAAACGTAGTCTATTTTGCTCCTCTCGCGGTGGAGTTGGGCTTGACTTGCCACGTCCAGAACGAGATTCCTTAGTTTCAACCAATGCAATTTCATTAATGTGACATGCCGTGTTGAGGCCACATTTCGGCTGCCTGTGAAGGTCATACGTCCGGTACTCTGCATTAGCCCATCCGGTTGCTATCCCAACAGGGAGGATGTCAGTATGTAGGTAATTTTTAAGTGCCGAGCTCGGAGACGCAAAAGACTGACCTTCTTCCACAAAGCTATCTTCCCAGTCTTCCGTCAAGAAATGCAAGAAGGCACCATGGCTGACAACAACAATTTCCCTCTCGGGCCTGCTTTCTAGCCATCGTCGAACGGCCTGCGCCCGATCTTGAATTGCTGGAATCGAGGGCCCGTACCGGCCATTCTGTCGCGATATCAATGTTAACCGTCAATGTCGCAGTCTTTCTGTGATAGATCGTATACAACGTGTCAATGACCAGGGTTCTGAGCATACCTTGCTGTTCCATGAGCTTTCAACGAAGCTGAAGTCGATTGGAATATTGATATTTGCGGTTTTTCGCATCAGCTCTTCCGGTTCGCTTCCGATATCACAAGGAAAATCGCTGATCTCCTGAAGGTCAGGTAGGAGAATTAAGTTTTGGCTAGGTTGGTTTTCAAAAACCGGCCCAAAGCTGATGGCTGCTGACGAGATGGCGCGACATAACGGAGACGAGACAATAAGCTCGACTTCTGAGTGAAAGGCAAAACGATCTCGGAGCTGTCGACACTGCTCTCCGCCTTTATCAGTCAGAGGAGGGTCTGTCAGATCCCAATACTCTCGGCCGACGTTGTGAAGCCCCTAAGTTATCAACATATCTCAATAAGTAGATCAGATAAATCATTCGAAGGGCTCGCACCTCTGCATGGCGGACTAGATGGATCCTCGGCGGCATTTCGTGATGTAGGCAGGCGCTCGTTGGCGTAGGTTATGTTAGCAAGTTGTTGCTTCAGTCTGCCGATAAAAGGGGGCTTCTTAAGTGGCGCGTTGTTCTCTTATCCGATGAAAAACATACTGGACCAGGCAAGCGCCAAGATTCAGAGCAGATTTGTGAATCTTGCCGAATCAGCTTGTCGCATATCCGGGCGCCCTCCTGCGCAGTTGTATATCTGAAAGCTTATTCATACCTCTCGGCTTCCTTTTTCGGATTAGGGGGTAGAACGGGAGTTGTACTAGGCCTGGGTAGGTTAGTCAGCTATCTAAATATGTAAACGCTAACCAACTCATGGATCGAGGAGCGGGTTTTTCCGGTTTTTCCGGGTCGGATTGACCTCAGTTGGCGCGAGTTCGGGGCGGGTGCCTGTCAAAAACCCAAGCCAGCGCCGGGTCGGGAGCGGGCCCTAGATCTTGAGCCCGAACCCGCCCCAAAACCAACTCTACGCATAAGATATAGGTATTAGGTATACCATAGGACCTTTCCTTTCAGCTCAACGAGTTGCTTCGATTGTATAAGGCATTTTTGGTAGTATAGCTGATGTTTGAATCATCTACGAAAATAAAGCGCGTTCAAAGTCAGTATACTTTAATCACCCCTTCTTACAGAGCTGACTATATATATCTGAGCTACTTCGGTACTAGAGGGAGAATAATTTTCGCAGAGGCTCTCACAAGTCCAGAATTACAATTATCCTTAGAGCGTATTTTCCTCCTAGTTTGACTATCATAGATCATCTCCCCTAGTTCTTCGCCTATGTATAGTAGACAGGGAGAAACCTGTATCTATTGTTTGAACTTGTGCTTCCCGAACCAATAAATCCATATTCGGTAAATAAAGAAGTACAGGATGTGAAGGGCATGAACTTTCAGTTCCGATGGAGGATTCAGCGGACGTATTCTGGCTGCCCCTCAAGGCCTTAGTTAGGTGATCTACGATAGCCATTCTCGCAACCCGCCTGAACTACAAACATGCGTTATTTCACGACCCCATTGCCAAGACTGTGGTGTAGGTCATTGAACTCGCTATCCCCGAATGGGAGTTTCTCTTCTACTACATATGGTCAGGAGATGCCTATCATGTTTTTACTGGCGGGTATGGCTGTCATCAAGCCTGCACACTTTCTACCTCGTACGGCAACGAACAACGCAGTTTGAGAAGCCCATCCGGACAATTGTGGAGACATACAGGTATATCATTGACACATATCTACTATTCAATACAGTGTATTAACTATATAGAAAATTAACCCAAAGAATAAAAAAAATTCAGAGAGCACGAAGGAGTGTTAAAGGATGGGGAAGTTCAATCGATCTCCCCTCTCCCTGGGGGTAGGTAATTGAAGCACAGGTCGGAGGCAATTTCTGGCTAATGGAAGAGACCTGAAATGAAAACCCAAATAATCCAACACATAAAGGTGCCTTGGCTCAAGTGATATATTCAAGCTTCGGGCTGTATTTCTCACCGAAGAAATCAACATTTCCATCCTTGTCCAACACCAGTGCTCTTGTATCAGCTTTAGAGCATTCAAATTGCTTATCGGGGGATTTAGTATTGTTCGTCTTTCGTTTTACTAGTGTACATATTTTTGTTTCCCTATGGTATCACTGTTCTAAAGGACAAACTAGAGGAGATGGGATTCAAGATGAGAATTCTGCGGGTGGGATACAAACTATCACCGAGAAGACTAAGGAAATAAACCGTTGAACAACAAGCATGTGTTCCTTCAAGACGCCTGATTTCTGGATTCGCCCTGTACTTTATCTGGCATTTCTTGCTCTTCACCGACCACGTTATCTCGCTGGTCAAGATGCACATTCTTCAGAAAGAACATAACAATAAGCATCGGTGACACGGCACACAAACCACCAATTGCCAGGAGCCGTTGTGTCTCCCGATAACTACGATCGATAGCCTCTCGGGCTGGCGTTCCCTTGGCATACTTCTTCGCTGTGACAATAGACTGGAAGATAGCCGTGGCTTGCGGCTTGAGTTCGTCGGGAAGATATGTCCGCAGTTTTGTGGGAAGGTTGTTTCTCCATATTGCTCCTGATATGCTAAGGGATATGTCAGCGAATGATGGTATTGCAACATATATAACCAAAGGATATTGTTTGCATGCATGATGACTACAATACGTACCTGGTACCAATCGCCCCACCAACCCCCATCGATGCGAAGAATACAGCGGTCACAACGGATATCTCTTGCTTGGTTACTACGGCTTGCGCTGAGACCTGCGATGCGGTTTGGTAGAATCCTCGACCGATACCGATTAGTGCTTTTGCTGTGACAAATGACGCCTCATTGCCCATTCTGCCCTCTCCCATGTCGATCAGATACAGGAGAATGCCCATGCCGAGGACGCACATAGGAGCTCCGATTAGCACCCAGATTTGCGACCGCTTGCTGTATTTCATAAAAAACCCAGCGAAGATGCCCGAGACCTGGAAGGATACGCGCAGGGCGTTACTATGGTGTGTACACGTTAGAGAATGAGATTGGAGAGGAAGAACAGTGTACTAACTCGATCCTAGTTGCATGTCCGGCAGAATAGCCACCCACCACCTGAAGGTAGCTGCTATAAAAGACGGTGAACATCGAGTAATGGAGAAAGTCTAACGCTCCTAACAGGCACGCAGCGGCAACCGTCTTACTCCTAACCATTCTGTACGGGATAAAGGGCTTCTTGGCCACGAAAATATCCCAGAGAGCAAAGAGAACTAGGAGCACGATACCGACAACAAGTAATGCAATGAATGTAGCACTCTGCCAACGATCACTTCGATTCGCGCCCGTCAAGGAAATAGGGATCAAAGTCAAGCATAACCCTGCGAGGAGAAGAAGAGCACCTGGGAGATCGAGCTGAACCCATAATAGCTCATATGCCTGTTTCCACCATGGCTGAGAGGCATGTAGTCCAAGCTGAGTAGCAAGGCGTTTTTTTCCAAGGCCATTTTTCATTGCTTGACGTTGGTGGTAGAATACAGAACAGAGTAGGGGAAGACCACAAACAGGCAGTGCAATAGCCCACATACCCCACCCCCAGCGCCAGGTGGAGTGGTCCAACACTGATTGCCCAATCGTCGTGCCAAGGTATAATGTTGGGATGGTGGATATTGAGTCGGGCAACGTTGACCATAGAGCACGGTTGATCAGGTTTGTAACATCAGCAATAAAGACTTGTTGGGTGAGGCCGAAGCCAGTGGAACCGACGGAGTGGAAGACTGCAGCAACCTAGTGACAAGAAGTTAACTTTGCAATGATTCACGATACCAAAAATGCCTCCAAGCGACATTTGAGTGTTTGATGAGGTTTCATTTCACATACAGCATATTGCGATATATTATTGCATGCAGCATAAATGACATAGCACAATGTAGTGATCAAGATCGAAAAGGTGAACATCTCCCCTCTTCCAAATACCTAGTTTTCGATGTTAATATTGGAGCCTATTTCTATTGGGATGAACCGGGATAAATCCACAAAAGGAGAACAGGGCCGTACATCTCCAAGTTTAGCGATAATAGGGTATGCAGTAATACTTGCGATATTACTAGCAACTCTTGCAGCACTCATCGAGGAATGGCTCTTAAAGGAACTTGTGGTGTAGGGAATGTAAACCTGGCTGGAATAGTCTCCAAAGTGTGTCGCGAGTGTATATAGGAAGATACTAGGGGGCGCTCCTTTAGCTCACAGTCTTCTTTCACCTCGTTACGATCAATACATACCCCATGAATGTAATTATCATGCCCTTTTTGGACCACGTCTTTCGTAGTATTGCTGCTCGCTGTACTCCTGCTTGGGCACTATCGGCGGTCGAACCGGTCTCAACATCGTGCTTCTCAGGTAGGACCTCGGTTATTTGATCGTCTGTATGTTTGTTACTGTTGGATATTGTATCCGGAGCCCTGCTTGGTTGTGATTGGGATATTGTTTCCTGTTCCATTGGCGTACGTTCAAACCCGGGAATATAACAAAGGAAGCAAAGTATTGGGGAAGGGAGGAGCTGTGTGACATAGAAGTGATACAGGGGAACAAATAACTTTGTGTCTAGCCGAAGAATAAAAACAAGAATGAAACACGGAAGTGTTTACGTTATAATATAGCTAGGCGTCGGCTCCCAGTTACATTTACCTGCCGTCTACCTGTACTGCCGGGGCCAGTGGTAGACAGACTTTTCTGACCCGGCATGGCACCACTGTCCCAAACACCGATTCTATCTACCATTACATATCCCTACTATCACCTAACTCCAATTCTTCCCGATGATCGGGTACTGTTTGTCGAGGTGAGTAGTCGGCATAAATCCGGATATCGCGGCTTATAATCCACTGCCTCGTATCTGATGATCTGATTAGATTGACTTCCAACGCCTTGCCAAGCCATTTACCTTGTAGTGGATATAGAGCCACGATTTCTGTTGGACGAAACGGCTGAGATACGAGAGCCAAGCACCGTTTACCTAATGATATACCAAAGACAGCAACTAAGAAGCTCAGCCAAGAAGATGCTAAAATTCCATTCAATGAGCTTGACACACAGTGTAGCATTTTGCACGTGGCAGTCCCTCACAATACTACTGTTGCCTAGCCTGGCAGGCTGGCTTCTACTTCCTCATGAAGCGCCAATGTTTTTGAGGTTGCATGCGAAAGGTACTTCATAAACACACACACTGTATGCTAGTGATATAGGAAGCGACAACTCCCGTATCTGAATCTTTGAACATGTTCGCACATGCGCCCAATACTCTACAACTGGAGCTGAAGAACTCCGATGGTGATGCCTACCAGATTCAAGTGGCGTGGCCTCTAGCGTGGGATGATCCTAAGGCCCCGGGCCATAGCGCCTCTATCATGTATGCTATTCTCAAACTCAGAAGTGGTATCCGAAAAGTGCACTCACTCCTAACACTTATTCTAGTTATGTACTTGATGGCAATGCGCTATTCTTCACAACAG